CCCCGCTAGCAGTAAAATCAAGCTCATTTTTCCCACTGCCATTCCTTCCCAGCTTTCCCTGCCTTTCTTGTGTCAGGAGTAGTCCAGATCTATTCAGATGTTGATTTCCCTTTTTTTGAGGTGGCAAAATTTGATTTGGTAGGTATCTGCCAGCTTACCTAGTTCTTCTGTTATCTGTCACTCAAAATATTTTAATCAGAGAGCTCAGGGCCTGTGTGTTTTCCATGCTGAGCTCTCACAAACAATCGCTGAATGAAGTGTTGGAAATGCCATAAGTTTTTGATTGAGGTTAACCATCAAACTATGATAGCTTGAGCCAGATAGACCAGCCTGAATAACAAGCCTTGCGATAGAGTTGCTACAGTGACTGATCTTAGAAGTGCCTGCCTTTTGGTAATAAAAAATGATATGTATGTGTAACATAATCTGTGAAGCACCACTTGTGAAACATCTGGAAAAAGGGGCTATCTGTAAAACGTTACATGGTAGTGGTAAAGAACAAGTATTTGCCATCCTTTTCACACCAGTGTTGTGAGGAAGACTCCCAGGACTTTGTGACACTTGGAACTGTTGGAAAACAGATTTGTTTTTGGAAGAAGGGATAAGAGGTTGTGGAAGGCATGCCTAATTCTATAAAAAGATCTTTCCCTGGAATTTCAAGTGAAGACTTTTTCTTATTATTTCCTGATCTCCCATATGGATTACATTCAGTCTGATTCCATTCTCATCATCCCTTTCTATTGTCTTCAGATCCAAACTGTCACCAAGAAAGTGCTGGTGCCACCACCAATTGAAGAACCACCTAATGTCACTGACTCTGCTTTTGCTATGATGAATGAGACAGTGCGGGAAGCACCACCAGAAGCCCAGCTGGTCATTAAGAAAGGACTTGAATTTAAGGATGGCATGAATGTCTTGGGTAGGGAAACTTTTTGCCTGTCAAATATGTACCTCATATGTACGATATAGCTCTTGGCTGTGACTAGGTATCCAGGGGATAGCCAGTGTTGTCTGATCTGCTCTTCCATGCGAGTTTAGCCCCCACAAATTGTCATCAAATGTTATCACCTACTAGCTGCCAGCTGGTCTCTGAGGTGAAAACCTTATGGTCTTAGTAGAAGTGTGACTAGATCAGAGAAACAATCAAGCGAAATATCTTGGACTGGCAACTCTGCAGGCATTTTTTGGAGTACAATAGGGAAGCATGTAGGAGGCATGCAAAATATCCTTTCATCCTTGAAGTAGCCTACCTAGACTAGTATTAATACATATTGACAAAACTGCAGGGGGTGAAGCTTCAAGAGCTTCAAGAGTGGTTTACCCACCCTCGGATGAATTTGAGCTCTGTTGTTTCCAGGAAGGTTTCTTGGGCATGCTGAACTAGAATTTGGCTTGAGGCATAGCCTGAAGTGAGAGGTGGGGTGTGAACCACACCACCCAAGAAAAATCCCAGAGAGGCTTGACACATCTCTGAGTCACCACTCCCTCCCTGTTTCATCTTGGCGGCTGACCTTTACCAGCTGCAAATTATGAACAACCACCATCATGCCATCTTGTCTGTACAAGCCAGCACGTGGAGGTGGTACAAAAAAGGTTTTGCCTATTTCTTACCCCTTCCCAAAGCACCTGTTCTAACCAGGGAAGGCTAGGGGGGGGATGAAGGGCAGCCACACCTCTCCTATTTTCTCCTATGTACCTAGACTCATAGTTTTGTCAGCCCAGAAAAGCACATTCCTCTTTCACCTTCTTACTGTCTGGACGTGGGTGAGGTTGGTCACAAATTAGCCCTCAATTTGTAGCACTCATCTGCACACCTACGCTTGAACGTACACATGGTCTGACACAGGGCTGAGGGTCACACTGGTGTTCATTTATAGATGCTGTCCTCAGAGTGGGAGCATGTGGCAATTCCTAAACCACTGCTTTAGCTCAGTGAACACCACCAGCCCATCACTTTTTAGGGGCAAGTAGCCTGCTTATGCCGACTGCTTATGGCTGCTCCCACGGAGGCAGTGGCTGCTGTGCCTGCAGTGGCTACTCTGCCTAGGTATGGGGAAAAAAGCATCAATAAACTGTTCAGAAATAATTTGTTTCCCTGTGAAGCAGTCTGCTCTACCAGAGCTAGGAGCCACTGTATGTATTTTGTGTAGTTCAATGACTTCTCATTCCACTAAACATCAGTGGGCAGAGTAGGCACTTTCTTGCATAGGTGCAAATTGGCATTTTGCACTCTTGTGTGAGGCAGCAGCTTATTGCTCATGCTGTTACCGTCACCTGTTTTTTTCTCACTTGGCGCTCTGCTTATGTGTTAAAATGAAACAGTGTTTCTCATGTGAGAGATGCGTTACGCTTGGTGCTGAAATTGCATTGTGCTGGCCCTGTTATGGATAAGAAAAGAGCTAGAAGATTGGATAAAATTCCTAAAAGAAAATATACAATGTTAAAGGTATAGTTTAGGTGAGAAAATTGCTGCAGTGTTTTGATCAACGACTCTCAAATGTTTGAATGAAGATGTGAAAATGCTGGGGAATTGCCATCCAGCTTGCCAGGCAAATTCCTGCAGATATGAACTGACTTGACTGCTATGACTAATGTAGCAGCTAGTTTGGAATTAACGGAACAAAACCACCTACTAACATTTTCTGATGCACAGTCTGAATTCCAGGAAGTTACTTGATCTTTGACTGAAAAGCTTTTCATCATTTCTCCATGCTCTGCAGCACACATACATATACTGCCCTTCCCTATTTAAGTGACTCAACAACGATGGCTTGGTGCTAGAGAATGATTTTATATCCAAGAGGATATAAAAAGAATATCTGATGTTGAACCCAGTGTGAGGATATGGAACAGCCTGTCTTTTCCCAGGGTACTGATAGCTGAAATTCCCTGCTTTTGCTGCTTTTATATCCTAATGGGTTTTTCCTGGGGAATTTCCAAGCTGAGTTCACACATTCGTTAAATACTGAACTCATATTGCATCTCAAATGCTGCTTGAAAGAGCTGCTTCAGACCATCTATCAGTATCAGTTAATAGTCTCACTCTGGACACTGAAAATTACTGGATAGTAAAGCTTAGCATTGGGAACACAGCTCCAAAGTAACACTTAGCAGGTGTGCTCAATTGGTCTGTCATACTGGTAGTGTCAATACTCAAGAATTTCATGCTTACTAATTTAAATTTAGGAATCTGGTCTTACTCATATTGAGTTCTATGACTATGTATCCGCTGATAACCAGTTTCAGTGAGATTAATCTGTTTAGTGTGAATTCCTACTTCAGCTTAAAGTACAATATCCTCTTTGTTCTCCCACCCCCATATTCTTCATTTAATTGGGATATTCCTGGCCTGCGAATGGTGTTTTTGGGGGTTGCTTTTTGTCTTTCCCTGTATTCTGGGGCTGACTAGCCAGTAGGTTGAATCTGTCAAGAGGTTTTCTTGAAGCTTTCCAAAAACGCTCTTGGTCTCTAGCAACTGTTTCAGCAGCAAAGAACAGTCATGATATGGTGCCTTTCCCATGTGCCATGGAGTAGGTTTCTATCAATTGCGTGGTGCTGGGAAGACTACACTATAGGTATTTTTTTGATGATTGGATCAATTTAGAAAAAAGGAAAAACATAGTTGGACTGTGAAATCAGAATGTAGTAAAATAATAAAGAATAAAGGATATTCTTCTGAATATGCTTAAGAAAGTTGAGGGTGAGTTCATTTTAAAAGGTCCCAAGATATGAGTAATATAGTATAGACATTTTGAAAACTGGATAAAGCAGATAATTCCAAAAGGTTGACTAGGTGCAAGAACTTACTGAAAAACATGGTTTTACTTGCTTTTCTTTTTATTGTGACTTTTTTCCAATAGGTTTGATAGGATTCTTTATTGCTTTTGGCATTGCTATGGGGAAGATGGGAGAACAGGCCAAGATGATGGTGGATTTCTTCAATATCCTGAATGAGATTGTGATGAAGCTAGTAACTATGATCATGTGGTAAGTTTCAAGTCCTAACTTCTAGAACACAAACAGATTTTAAAAATCTGACAAAAGCTTAACATTGCGTATAGTGAATGCGCTTTATTAGTAACCAGTATAATCAAATAGTCCATTTTTAAAAGCCTTAATAAGGGCTTAATAGCACTGTTTCTATTTGGTGAGGATTATTTAGGACTCGTGTTGAAACATTTCTGAAGATGATAGGCTCTGTTTTCTGTTTACTAAAATCCAAGACTTGCAGCTACCAGCAAGGACCCTTAAGTGCCACATTTATTGTGGAAGTTCATTACCTAGAAGGACACCTAAGCAGCCTAGCAAGCCCCACATGAGAACATCCAAATCTTCCTGGGAGGTTAGCATAATCCCAGGGTATTAGCCCAGAGGCATAATTGTAAAGAAGCCTGAAGGCAGACTTTGTTAACTGTCTTCTGTAGCAAAATTCGCTTACCACAGAACAAAATTCCAGTGGTTGTCAGTGATGTGTCTCGCCTTCCCCCTGCTTAATTTCTGCAGAATCTGTATCTTAGAAGCTCACCACAGTCAGGGCACTGGAGCTCAGCTGCCGGCTTTTGAAGTTCGCCCATTCGCAACATGAGGGCCTGGCTTGTCCTCACCAGAGTGACTTCACGCAGTCAGGACTGAGCCCTTGTTTACATTTCTGAAGGAGGATTCTCTCTTTCTTGGAGAGGATTCTCCTGAGTGCTTCCCCAGAGCTGTTTGCATGCAGTGTCAAACATGGCCATATTGCATAAAACTAGTTTTTCAGAACTTACAAATGCATCGCTATATTTGGCATAGTGCTGCTGAGTTGGTTCTCTCCTAGGTCCTACACTAGTCAGCTCATTCAATCAGCTAAAGTCGATACCGGCTTTTTTGGTAGGACAAACTAAGAAAACTGATAGCACTCCATTGTTTCTGCCAACACTTACTGTCCTAGACTGGTGTGTCTGCATTATATGTGTTTGAATTAGGATTCGTCCCAGCTCTTTAATGAACTGACTACCATTAGCGATGAAGTCCGAGAGCACAAATAGCCACTCCAATACAACACATCTATTATGGCTCCTTGCTCCCACGATTGCCAGATGTCCCTGGAAATGCATTTCCCTGAGTCACAGGGCTGCACTCTGCCTCTCCTCTGAGGATCTAGATGGACAGTTTAATAGAAGCGGGAGCAAGGTGGCTGAAGCATGAGCCCTCAGCAGTATTTCAAGGGAAGACACGTTATGCAGGAGTGAGGCAGATAGCAACAGCTATGTGGAAATGTACAGAACAAAAGTTAAAGAATGGCCATGCATTCCTATTATGATTCTGCTTTTCAGTAGGGGATCTTGACATATAAAAACATAGTTGTTTTTATTCACAAAACCCTGTCGTTTTCACTGTTTATTGTAATATGCTGCTCTTGACTGTATAGAGAGAGAGACGGTGACTTTGCTCTCAAAACGCTCCAAGAGCTAGAATTTACTCTTATTTTACTCGTGACACCAGCTGGTACACCCAAGACATAATATGTAACTGAAGTTACAAAGTTTCTCTAGTAGTCAGTGTTGCAATGACAGGAAACCATTCCAGTTTCAACATACCCACTGCAAATGTTTATTTTCACTTATGTGCGTTTTGTTTCCCTTTCCTTGTGAAAGGAGATTAGTTGATGCTAGGAGTTCTGCTTGTTCATCACGGTCAAGAACAGTTAAAGAATTGTTGTGGCCAGAGCAGTGTTTTGTGTGTGTGTTTATAAAGACAAATGCATGTCTTTTTTATGCAGAATTACATTCTGTTTGATTTATGATTTCCCTCCACAGAAGGCTGTAACTCCTGTGGCAGCTCCAGTAGCTTATAAGACTCTCAGGAGCACAGCATAGCTTCGGGAACATAAAACAAATCTGACATCTGACTGTGACACCATATAATTCTCTATAAGGAATATGCTTGGTCAAGCTTATTGAAACACAGACTGTATGACAGCTAGTAAAATATTTGGCCTTGCATTTTAAGTGACTCATGACTGAGGGCTTCCCAGTGTTTGGTCATACTGCTTGAGAGACCATGAGATCTGTCTTCCGGAAAGCATGAAGCACTTTCATTCTAGAGCTCAGTTTCCTTTGTATTGTCTTTAATTAAGCACCCAAATCACTAATCATTTTTGAAAAATTAGATAACCCTATTTTCTCAGAGAAACATTTTATTGTAGACTGTTCCTCTATGCACGTTATGCACGATACTTTCTCTCAGCTGAAGTCTTATAAAACAGATAGAGAAAGTGAATGTCACTCAAAATGATACGATGCACTAACCTTTACCAGTGGAGGAAAAAATATTATCTTCTACCTATGCACATTCAGGCATTTTCACTATTGCTGATTATTAAAAATATGCGTTCATTTCAAATCTGTTTATGGGGTGGCACAGTTCTCTCCCTATTTAAAAGTTCCAGTTATGCCATCAGGGGACCACATGCCTGAGGTATCCAATAACCTGTCATAAACAACAAAAGCACATAACTGGAGCACATAAATGAAGAATCCATAGACGAAAAAGCATTTGTCCAAATTATTGGAAGAACATAATAGAGACATTTACAGCATTCAAGATAAAAGAAAGGCAATTCATTTCAACAGATAATTTAACTGAAGCAAATAACACAACTCCCTGAACCCAGATGAGCTGTCTGAGTTGCAAGAGTTGCATATTAAGAACAAATACTACACTATTCTTCATAATGGTCCTAAGCAGTTGCATGTCTAACATTATTATATTCTTGTAGGATGTTACTCCAGAATCACATACTATTCAGGAAATGCATATTCCATTCGATGGGATGGAATAAAGAGAAGTAAATGCGGATTTCACTGAAGTTGGCCTTTACTTTTAAAAGAGGTGTGAAAGCAATCCACTGAACTTCCATCGCTTTCTGATCCGCGGAGCCTGAGAGCACCCTACTGCTTTCCCTAGTCTATGTTCTGTTAACTGCAAAGATTGTGACTGCATGCTGTAAAGACCAGTTCTGTCTCTGCTTGTTCTCTTTCTCCAGGTATTCCCCTTTGGGCATTGCTTGTCTCATTTGTGGAAAAATCATTGCAATCAAGGACTTAGAAGTAGTTGCTAGGCAACTTGGCATGTACATGGTAACTGTGATTGTGGGCCTCCTCATCCACGGAGGGATCTTCTTGCCTCTGCTCTACTTTGTGATAACGAGGAAAAGCCCCTTTTCATTCCTTGCTGGGATTTTCCAGGCATGGATCACAGCACTAGGCACAGCTTCCAGGTACACTTGAGAAATAACAGCTTTATTTTTTAGCAGATCATTAGCTGCTGTTTAGAGATAATACATCTGCTGTTCTGACCTTCACTACAAAATCATTTTATGCCATTGAATAAAAGCTCTTTGTTACGCCGTCTTGCTGGGGAAAAAAAAAAGACCATACACTCTGGCGATTTTTTGAGAGCGCTCATATGGCCAACTGAAGGGAAATGGGAGACCCAGTTCCTGTTTTCGTCTCTGATGTTGGCCCAATGACTTGTGTAAATCGGATTACCTCTGGGCTTGTCTCTTCAGCTAGGAAACAGTGATAATTCTATTTGCTCACCTTTTGAAAGCATGTTAGTGAGAAAGTGGTATGAGTACTTTAAAGTAATTATTAATATAGCAAACTGTAAGGAATAAGAATTTTAATCTGACTCTTGACAGATATTTACCTTGCGGCTTCAGAAAGAAAGAATTGTGCTAGACTTGAAGAGAGAAATGAAGGAGATGTATGAAAATCTCCTGTGGCTGCCAGTCACTTTAATTAGGATGATAATAGGCAGCAGAGGCTGTTGTAAACTGAGAGCTAGAGAGCTCCAGGTTTTGTCTGTATCTGCTGCTGTCAGTGAGGATTTCAGTGTACCCGAGCCCTTTCTCCACTCTTCTGTGAAGGACACAAAAGGTATCCAGGGAGCTCTCTGCAAATTAGACTTATATACAGTCTGGTTCACAAACAACAGCAAAGACTTACTAAAAAGCCTCACTCTTCTTTCATACAGTTTTGCAGACTAAGGGGACTTCAGTATAGAGCTGAGCATTTTAGACTTGGAGCTAGTGCACAAAACAGACTCAGCAAAGTGTGTAGGAGACTGAATGACTCAGGTCTCAGTAATAAGTTGTGATGCTTTGTGTGGGGGCAGTCAGGAGATTTTGGGTTGAAACTATTTTTCTGTGGAAAACTGTATTTTATAATAAGTGTTTTTCTGCAAGAAATGCTTTATTTCTGAAGAAAATTTAATCTTCCTTTTTTTAATTAAAAAAGGAAAACAAAGAAGCCTAATTCAAAATTGACCATCTGAAAACTGAGCATTCTTCATTTCAGGAGTGCCTCAAGAGAACCGAATTGTATCTACCCCTCTCTGGGGCAAAACCGCTCTGCTGGACAACTCCCCTAATGAACGAGAGGATACATAATGAGGCACTATGAGAGATAGAGCTTGGCCAGGAGCTTGAATACACCACAGTTTCCTTAAGGCTTTTCTGCATTGAAATGTTGAAGTTTCCACTTAGATTTTATATTAAAAATTTCCAGTGTCTGTGCGCAACATTTACCATTCCTTTTTTTAGCACAAAGTCACGTTTTTTTGATGGACGAGCAAAGTTGAAGGAGGTAGGGAATCCCTAAGTGGTTCGAGCTTATGGGTTTGCATGGGTACTGCCTTTACCACCTGACTGCTATTCAGATCTGAGTAACCGGATGGACAGAACTGGACCAGTCTGTAGCTCCATAGACAAGTTACAACAGCTGTCATCATACAGTCTAATCTGGTGCCTCTGGGCAGCGCAAATGCTTCCTATTAAGGTTCTTTGTTTGATCAAACTGAGTAAGGCATCTTATTTTCTGCAGTCTTTTAACAAAGAAACCTTGTCTGCCCACCTGTCTTTACTCACAGGTACAGAACCGAAGGCGGAAAATGTTTGACTAGTCCTTGCCTCCTGAGCCAGGCAGGGTCCATTGCAGTGCTCTCACACCATGGCTGACAATCTGACTTGTGAAAACAAATATTAGGTGGGATTTATCTGTTTCGAAGAAAAAGAACCTTCTTTAACTGGGTTTCAATGTGTATCAGTGAACTACGTTTTCTAATTTGTTGTTCTTTGAATAAGATATGGGAATATCTTTACCCTAGAAGGCAAGGTGATGCAGGCACTGACTTAAAAACTAACTGGTAGTTATTAGTTAATGACTCACCAGATCTTTTCAGCTACATGCTATAAATAAAGCCACTAGAGTAACTTATGAGAGAATACTGTATTGTTTTTACAAGGTGGGAATTGTTTCTGTTTTGATTAAAAACACAGAATAATATAAACTTGATTACCTTTGATAAAAAACATAACAAAACAAATTGTAATTGCAAGTATATTTGTAAAGATGCCAGAACACAAATGATCGGTACTATGTATCTGGTTTATTGAGAGTTGTTAAAAAAATAACCTCAGTGAACAAAAGAATGGCCTGGACATGTGGGCACAAGGTGGAGATCTAGGAGCTCCTGACTTCCAAGTCAAGTTTCTGTAGATGTGGGACTGGAGGAGTCACTTAGGAAGTGACTCGGGTGTCAGCCAGTCCAGAAGGTTTTGGGTTACCCATAGATCCTGTGTGATATATGCCAGCCTCATGTGGTTGTCCCAGATAACCTAGGAAATATAATATGGTACTATTTTCTTATGGTTAGGTACTTCAGTCATTCCCTTAATCTCCCTTTTTCTTGCTTTGATCATCTGTAAAATGGAAGGATTACATTTTTTTTACCCAATAGCGTCTCTGTGGTAATGAATGAATGAATGAGTTGGAAAGACTCTGAAGTTGCAAGGCACTAGAAACAATATGCTGTAAGTATTTATTTGAAAACATTTGGTGAGTTTAGACCTTTACTCTTTTCATTATAAGCAAATTAGTATTTTTGTAGGGGGCAATGACACCAGCGTTAGCAGTGGTGCAATAGTCAAGGTCTTTGAGAATATCCGCCAGCTCGGTTGGAGAAAAGCAAATAAGCTAGAGCAGACGCACCCGAGCTGATTCAGTACAGAAATTCTAATTTAAAGGAATTTCCCCTGCTCAGCTTTCTCTTTTCAAAGCAGCTTGTTAGGCAGCTATAAACTTCATTTAGTGGTGGACTTGACCTCAGAGATACCACAAAAAATTAAGGAACCAAAACATCCTTTTGTGTTGGTTTCATTCCTGTAGCAGCAAGTCCTTTGCCAGAGGCAAGCAGACCTGCTAGGGAGGGGAAGGCGTAGAAGATATTTGCATCCATAGGGGAAAAGGTTATGGTCTGATATCAATTGTATTTTTAGATGAAGGTGCTTTATTTTGAACAAGTGAGTGCAATAGCCTGAACTGTTCCCACCAATGCAAGACACTATGGTTGGTAGGAGCCCCTCTAACCAACCATGTTTCACATCCTTTCCTATCCTGCAACCAGGTTTCTCATCCTTTCCTGCCCTCCAAACTCTGAGAGTTGCATGGGTTGTGTATCTTTCCCCTGGCTTGTCCATTCCGTAAAGCAGCACTGATTTTTCTCTTCAGAGCAAATTCACAATCAAAGAAATTTAGGATATGCCCCTTTCCCTGAAGTTCTAACAAATTAGAAAACATCTGGAATATATGCTTGGAAGAAATTGCAAGAAATAACTCATAAATGAGTCTGAAAGCTTCATCTACAATCCTTCGAGCTCTTACTCCTTAAGCCTAAGTCATGTTCTTTTCTTGGCCACAGTTCCTCCTTCAGCTAAATGTAGTCTTAATTGAAAAATTGGCCAAAGAAGGCTTCAATCACAGCAGAAAGTGGAAGTAGAAAATGTAAACAATGATAGCAGAATTTCTGACTTTGCTCCCTCAAGTCTGCATATTATATTCTAATTATGTCTCCTGTACTTATTTGCTTTCTCTCCTTCAGTGCTGGAACATTACCTGTTACGTTCCGATGTCTTGAAGAAAATCTAGGCATTGATAAGCGTGTAACAAGGTTTGTTCTTCCTGTTGGAGCAACTATTAACATGGATGGAACGGCCCTTTACGAAGCTGTGGCTGCCATCTTCATCGCACAAATGAATGGCATTGAGCTGGATGGAGGGCAGATAGTTACTGTGAGGTGAGTTCAAAGTATTTCTGGGCTTTGTTTTTAAAGACTGTAAAATATGAAGCGTGGATGTCTTCTCAGTGGCTGTGGGATCCACTGCAAAATTCATGGATTTCTAGTAATGATATGCAAAGAATGTCATATTATATGTTGTTCCTGGTTCTCTAGTGGCTCGTACTTTCTATCAGTTATTTGCAGCTTTAATGCATGCTGGTAGTGTTTTTTACAGATTTGTGGTTGACAATACAAGGTAAAAGTCAACAGCGTTCTCTGTCCAGTGCCATAATTCACTTACTGAGTAGAGAGGAAAGTGGGGCACTAACTTTTTAGATAAATACATCTGTTTATATTCATTGGAAGAAAAAAAGCGTACCCACCGACTGTATTTGTGTCTTCATGCTTGTTTGTCCTTTTTCTCTGACTATGGTTTTGACAGCAAAACCAGTGGACTGAGTGTAAAGCATCCTCAGGGTGAGGTTACCTGCAGCATGGTCTAGGTACTCTCGGATTTTTTATCTCTACCCCAGAAGATAGTAGCTCTAGTCTTTTCATATCAAGTAGTCATATTTAGTACTCAGCTTCAACTTCTGGTCAGAGGAAAGTACACATTCAAAATGGATAAGAGTAGCTCAAGACTGTTTACTGTAATCTAGCTTTAATAAAGACTCATGAGATATGGTGAGTAATAAAAAGGAATGGCAGAGTTATGACTACTGCAGCTAAAGTTAATTTACAGTGGAAAACTTGATGAAGACACCAGGCCTGACATTTTGAATAGTTACAATGTAAACCACAAGTGAAAGCTGCCAAGTTTGCCTTCTTCCTGTACTTTTCACCCACCCACCTTTCTTTTATTAAACCCTTTTAACACTAAAGAAACCACCTGCATAGCAATGTCTAATTCTGTGTTTGTTGCCCAGCTTTATTACCAGCACATTTTCCGTTTCTTTGCTTCCTGCCCTAATCCCTAAAATGGTTTTTAAAAGGGGTTCAGGCTGCTTCTAATGAAGGCAGATGCTGGACCTGAATGGTGCAGTTTTGTTGCTAGAAATGAGAACAGTCGTTTCAGAGAAGGCACATTTTAGACCAAATTGAGACGAGGGAAATTTAAGCCAGGGATAAGCAGTTGGCCAAGAGATTTGGTAAGCTTGAGCCCAAGTTAGTCCTCTTGCTCCCCGTCTGAGGGACTGACTCATTAGCTCTGTCTGATCTCACCATTTGAAAACTGGTGTAGGCAACTTTTTGACTCGCATTTACTAAGCAGTGAGTACCTTTGGGCTATCTGTAGGAAGACCACTGGTTCTCCTCTTCATGCAATATAGCATTTTTGCTGCCGCAATATGATCACAGCTATCCCTTGAGGTGGCAGTACGAATGAATGGAAGGTTATTATTTAATGCCAAACTCAGCTTGTGGTGCTGGGTATACTCAAATGACCAAAATGTAAGCTCACAAAGACTTGTATCCGGTTAAGATTAGTCTTCAACTAGCCCTAGTTACTTCTTTTTAGTCGCGTAGATACTCTAATTTCCTGTCTTCTTCAGGAGAGGGTGATCTCAGAAATGGCGGCCGATCCAGACTCTGTTTGGGCCTGAACAGCGCTACCTTCTTTCCCCTCCAGCCCTGTAAGCATTGCGGTGGGAAGGCTGGAGGGAGTGTTTCCTCCCAGAACTTGGAAATGCTCCCTCACCAGTTCAGGCTGGAAGTGCCAGAGGAAATGGCATGACGCTCAGAGCCTGGCAGCAGAACCGAGCATCCTGCCTGCGTGCCTGCTGGGCATAGCCAGAGGTTTAGGAGGCCAGGCTCCACTTTAACCCAGACACCTGGTGATCTCGGCAGTCTGGCTTGTCTGGGTCAAACCTGCCATCTGACAGGTCAAAATCGGGCTAACATCTCCACAGAGTAGTTCTGTGGCTAACAGCTGAGGATTTCCCCCCAAGAGACACTTCTTCCCCTACTTCTGTCCTGGAAGCACTTTCAGATTTGTTGGTTCCACCCAGAGAATAGCAACCATATTAGTCAACTCTGTGCTCTGCTTCAAAAGGGCAGGCGTTTTTTTCTCCCCCTCCATTCTCCCCTCTGCCTCTGCCTCTCCCTTTCTTTTTTTCCTCCCCTTACTCTCTGGCTTACTCTCTGACAAGTTTATCTTCCATTCTGCATAGGATTGCCCAGTGATGCTAATGTTTGTTGTTCTCTGTGGTGTATTTTTGCAAACTTCAGCATCTGGAGCGCAGGCATTCACTCTAGTGGTCTTAAGCAAAAAAAGAGTTAAAAACAAAGATAGGTTTGGATCTGTGACACAATCAGATGAATTTTGGTTTTGCATATAGGGGGATTTGTATCCAGGCTTGGTATACCACGCACTTGAACAGTGAGTTTTGGATACCAAGACGTTTACCCTTCTCTGCTTGATAATAACCAGTTTCTCTAAACCATTAACGCCCAATTCAGTCTTCAGTTACCATAAATAAACAGAAATGAACCATCCTGGAAATTCAACCTGTGGCCACCAAACTTCAGCAAGTCTGGGTTATACAACTCTGTTTTCAAAACCCTGAATGTATTGGTAGAGCTCAGATAACAATACCAGCCCAAAGATGTTAGTGTTATAACCAATCTTAGTCTTACAGCTCTCAGAACAAACCCTGTAGATCTGGCCACCCTTAAATAAATAATTTTGGAGGAACATGAGTTCCAGCTGTGGCCTGCACTTACCAGGGTTTATCATACAGTCCTCGGTTTTCTGGGAAGAACTCCTTAGAAGTAAGGCCTTCCAAATGATCACATGAGTATGCAATGAAATTATGTTCCCCTTTCTACTACTCACATTTGGTTTTTGTTTTTGCAGTTTGACCGCCACCCTCGCAAGTGTTGGAGCTGCCAGTATACCCAGTGCAGGACTTGTCACTATGCTCCTGATCCTGACTGCAGTGGGTCTCCCCACCCAGGACATCAGTTTGCTTGTTGCTGTTGACTGGCTTTTGTAAGTTATGCTGACTCCACTGCTGAGTGCAGGAGAAGTAGTAAAGTAATGCGACTCTGTATTGCTTTTCAGCCATTGATCTTAAAGAGCTCTAAGAATTTCTTCTACAGATGAAGCAAAGGAGGAAAGGCATGAGCTGTTTAATAAAATAGTGTCAGAACAAGTAGCCGACGCTGAAAAGCAGCTTCTAAGCTAGTGAAAATTGCTATAGAACTACTGCAGTCCATTTCTATGAGCCAAGGACCTGCCTATAAGAATCGTAGCTCCTTGGGCCTATGCCCCCATGTTTTCCTCTGTTCAGTGATGCCCCCCCATCACAGACTTAGCTGACCAACAGTTTTTCTCATTTCTGCAATCATATCTCTGTTTCTCATTGTTCTATTTCTAGTCTAAAATTAAGGACGAATGCTGAATATATGGGTCAAAATGCTATGAGCCAGTTACCGTGGGGTTTGGGCATTTGTAGTATAAAATGTTATACACTCGTAGTGAGAAAAGTCTCTGAAAGTGAAAGGAAAGTAAAATGCTTTTAAGAAACAAACTGTAGGATGACTGTCCCAGAGCAGGATATAAACAAAAGAAAAATGAGAAAACAAACCGCAAGGCCATTCCCTAGCCAGGTTTTAATGACAGATTGATAAAACCTGAAGGACCTGCTTTCATTTTCAAAGACTTGAGATCAAAGTCCTTCAGTGCCAGGTGTCCACAAACAAGAAATAGCAAACTCATAGATAGTTTTCCAAGGCCTTTGTTCTTCAACACTTGGATGCAGAAGCTGTGAATATAGACAGAACGTAGGCCAAGCCAGATCCTTTCTTATGCTGTCATTTGGCAGTGTAGATATTTTTCTGTCACCTTCACAGGAGCTGATGCCTCCTTATTCCTCTAAGTTGCACTGGTCACTACAGGCTGTTATATTGTCCTCTACTGCTATGGCACGGTATATTCTGGCCAACCACCATCTTTCGTCCTAATAGTCTTTTACATGGCGCGCTTTTGTTGTGCTGGCTTTGGCACGCAGCAGCGAAGATGTGAGGGCAGCCGGGCCACTCTGGACTATTTATGCGTTTCTTCCTACTGCTAGTGGCCTCAGCTGCCTGCTTGTGGTAGCTTTCATATACTACTGAAATTGTGTAAGAAGGAATAGCAATGATAAGAATGTTGAGATAAACTAGGAAACGATTTTCTGTCACTTATCTTTTGGCTTATTGAGAGGAATTCAAGATCTTGGTCAATCCTCTGACATGTCATTTGGGCCTACTGCTATCCTGTATCTGTTATTAACTGTCATGTCACTAAGAGTCTTGAAGGATAGCTCCCAGCTCTGATTTCTGCTTCAGGGGAAAATGAAAGAGAAATTTACAGCTTGGGGAAGCAGAGGAAAAGATGACTTACGTATTTTGTATATAACTGAATATCATATCTTGACTAAGAATGGTGAAATGAGGCAGGGTTCATCAGTCAGAGTACAGCATAGGGAAAATATGACATTCTGTGGGTTTATTATGTTTGTGAAATCATGGTTCAAAACAGGAAAGCAGTGTAGGAATCTGCAGCTGGGAGGAGGAGAGCAAAAGGGAGGTACATACTAATTTTAAATATATGTTTATACTGGCTCTCAAAGTAAGGCAAATAGGTAGGTTTCTGCAGCTGATAGGAGGATGTGCAAACGGAGCCTGTGGTTTGTTTGTTTTTTTAAGGAAATGTCATTTAAAAATATTCCTGTGGACTGAGAAGCTCTGCCCACACTACCAAACCTCAGAGCTATAAATTTACCAGCAGTTCCGATCCACTAGTAGATGCTGTATTTCAGTCTTGGCTTGAGCATTTTTACCCCGGGGTCATCCAGCCTTGCTTAGAGAAGTAGCAATGTCTGTACTGTGGAGCTGTAGCAGCAATGAATGTAAGTATAGAAAGGGTAGATTCAGAGATAGTACTTCTGAAATAAATATTTCAAGGTATCTTTCCCAAATCAATGCCAGGCAAAAGAACCTTTCCGCACACTTGATTGGCTGTGGATCCTTTTGGCCTGACAATCAGCAATGCCATTCCGGAGTGATTTAAAATTGAAAGAGAGAGGGAAAAGAAAAAAGAAAAAGATGAAACAGGAGATTACAAGCTCTGTGTCCTGCCAGAAGGGGGCGGGTAAGACAGTTTGTAGATGGAGGTGACCTGCTAATTAACGTATTCCAGTAGCTAATAGTTTTATTTTCTACCTTCTTGTGGTTGTGTTGTGGTAGCCGTGATGGTCTAAAGAGATATGCAAAAAGTTGTGGCTGACATTGCTGATGTTAGAAAAGGACACACAAGGCAACTTTTGAGGAAGCTTTTGGGCACGCAAACCAGATCTAAAGAGGATTTGAAACAAAAGGTCATAAAAAGATATTTTCTGTGTTTACAAACTTCAGTGGTTTTTGTCATTTCTTTGGATCATCAGACAAAATTACAGCAGTATTTCTGATAGAACGTAGAAGAGAATGTTAAAATATTTAAGGTCAGTTCAAAGCACTTTTCTGGAACAAGTGCATAAGTGCAACCAGCAGTGCAGAATTATTTTGGAAGCGCTCTTTTTATAGCATTTCAATCCCAGATAATGAAAGCTTTACAAAAATGGCCTATTCCGTGCTTTTTTCAATATTCCCAGTGAAGGAAAACATCAGAACATCAATTGGTTTTGCAATACCACCATCATTTGAAACTGCATTCTGACCAAAAGCAGCTTTGAACAGTGTGAACATGCTGTAACACAAAGCTGAGTTTTTGTTGGCCGTGAACTTGACACTCTCTCCTTCAAATTGGAGCCAAAAGGTTTCTGTATCAATATCTTCTTAAGCTACTCCAATATCTAGAGATTAGGTGGCTAGACCTTCCCACCCCCCCCCCTTTTGACTGAGCTTTCACCAGGCAAGTTTCCCAAGCTTTCACAGCTCTCATAGTTTCTCAGTTTAAAATTAAGCACCACACAGCAGTGACATTTAATGGGACAGTAATTATATGCCGACAGCTCGAGTGAATCCAGCTTCTTTTGCTCTAGCCAGGAGCTGGCTACTTTCCAAATGTGAGGCTGACAAGCTTAGCAAATATCAAAGCACAGCCTCAAGTACAGTGATATTTTGCAGTGAGGAAAGAAGAATTAGAGAAAATGGGCTTGGGCAGCTGATCCAATATTTAGAGCACCTACCTTCATTCAGAAAATCAATTAGAAAAGATTGTTTGAGTTCTGAGTCCCTTTCCTTGGCTTAGATTGAAATTCAGAACATTCAGACCTAGTCAACATTTAAATGTTATAGACAGGGCTGCATATAAATGGAATTAAACTATAGGAAATGAGAGCTTTCCTAGAATGGCAATGAGGTAAGGCTAGTTAAACATATCCTTTGCTTTTTGACTTAGCAGGTGTGTTAAGATTTTAATCTCCTTTCTAAAATCTAGTAAGGTTATTTCCCAGACTTCCAAGTTCCCAGGAAACAAGAATACCTTTTTTGCATACAAGCATATTGTAAGTACTGTTATAATAATAATACTGATAATAATAAGACTCTAAGGGCCTGATTCAGACCCTCTCTTTTCTTTTCCTCTCCTCGACATTGTTAAGTTTCCAGGTCTTCTGATTTATATCAGTTTGAGGAAATAATACATTAATCCTTATCAGGATTTAAAGGATTACCTCCCAATGATTCCAAAGCACATTCTCACCAGATGTTGATTGGCTTTTGAAGACGGAGCTTTCACTTTCTTTTCCATTATTCCTCCCAGAATTTGAGTTACAGACAACTTGGAAGTAGCTACATTGGACAACCAATTTACTAGACTGCAATTTTCCTGTATTTGTTTTGTTCAGATCATTCCAATGTATCTGGAATTAAATGGTTGGTTGTTTTTAACAAAAGAGTAAGTACGATCTTATTGATCCTTCTTAGGGTGTTCTTTCACCCAAAAGAGGTCAGTGACACTTTGCTGTTGATTCCTGCCAGCCAAGATTTTGTCCTTTCTCTTAAGGACTTGTTCACTCCAGTTTACTCAGTATAGTCTGCTCTGCAGCACTGTGCAGTTTGTATCGCTGAATCTCTTGGCTGCTGGTACATGAGTATGGGCTGATGCATCTCCTCAAATGACCCTTTCAAAATACAAGGTATGCATAAATATTTTTGGCAACGGATACTGTCCCTCCCTAGTCCTAGTATCAATGAATCCTTTCAAAATTTAGTACTATTCATGTAAATAAAAATTAAGCAGGTGTTCTTTAATGTCCTTATGGAGCTATAATGCATGGTTCGGTGTATTTGGTAGTCTTCATTAAGCAAGTTGTATTTTCCTATTGTGCCACTCTAACCAAGTTTAAAACAGTCTTCATAGGCATAGGATGATAACTATGTAAAACATGTCATTCAAGTGAAGCAAAACCGGAAGAACTTTTTTTGCCTATGGGTTGTTGGTTTATTTGGGTTTTGGCAGGATTACTGGAGGCTTTTTTTCCTTCTGGGTGTTCTTTTGATGATAAAAATGGGCTGATTCAGGTAAAAAATTACACTGCAAACTCCAAACTCGTAGGCAAGATAATGAAGAGAGGGAAAGGGGAAACTTGAAAGGGAATACAGTTCCACTGCTGAGAAAGGCAGTTTTACAGAAGTTTACAGCAAAGATGTTAAAAAGAGCTCACAAGTTTGTATGACCATAAATAGGGATGAATAATCTATGTCTGTCATTTGAGGTTTGGTTTTGTTTTTTTTTCCTTGGTGTTGTACAGAAAGCAGAGATGTCACATAAATCTAATATCAGCAGTACTAGAAAGAGTGTTTTCAAATTAATCCCCATCATGGGAAAGAGAGGTCCTACATACTGGCTTTCCTGTCACTCAGCAAATGTCCACGTTGTTTGACCTACCCGTTGTGTTACTGAGTCTTTGTGGATGTACCTTAGAGAGTTAATGTGAGGTGGATGTACCTCAGAGAGTTAATTACTGTAATCGCGTCTCTGATCTCTTTGACAAAGCTAAACTCAAGGTTGCTGCAGTAGCTTTAAATTGCAACTAGCAGTCAGAAGTCTTTCAGGATTCTTATGTTCAGCTCTTATACGTAGAGGCAAATCAGATTGCTAGCTCTTCACACCTATTTGGCAGGTGTAAATGATTTCATAGTGTGTAATACAGCTTATCTGCCATAGGAGAGAGAGTGTGAACTCACAGTCCTGTAGTTGTCTGTAAGACCACCACCCCTTTTGCAGTGTTTTGAGGCAGGATGAGGGGAAAATCCACAGCTGAGAGTTGAGGGCTGACAGACTGAGTCATTATCAGCAAGGCAGGGGAAAGGCAGCACGTCTGTCTGATGGCATCATGTCCGGGAAGAGCCAACAAACATGTTTCTTTATAGGGAAGCATGTGGGCCTCAGTTGGCACCTTCTTGCAACTAGGGGCGCTTGTTACTGAACTGCTGTCTTGGGCTCATCATTTTGTAGGCCATGACCTATATTTGGCTGGCTCATATGCTGAGTTCTGGCATACAATAAGTGAATGGGCATGCTTCCACTCTAACAGATGACCATCTGTAAAGATGGTGCTAGCAGAGGGCAATCTAGTAGGAGCTTTGAAGGCCAGAGCTTTATGGAGATGCTTTGGGCATTTTTTTGCATAATTTTCTCACTTGGACTAAATGGAGAGGCCCTTTGTTAATCCATCCCAGGTGTATGAGACAAATGCAAAATGCAAATGCAAAACCTCAACAAATGCAAAATCATTTTCCCTGGCTGCGTTAAATAAGTTCAGTGCCTCCATGAATTCAGATTAACCGACAGGAGATGAGGCAGGCCAGGCACCTGGAGATGAAACCTCCAGCTCCAGAAGCATGCACCAGGGAGGTCTCGGCTGCACAGCTCTGCAGTTTGGCTGCGTTTCTAGGGCAAGCTCTTTGCCAAGACCGATGAATATGAGCAGCTGTGACATGGGATTTTGCACATCCCTGTCTGAGGAAGTCCCCTGGAAAAACAAGTTGTTTCATTCTCACTTGAAAGCTATAATCCTTTCTGTTATAAAGATGCCTTAACCTTTCTGAAATAAATGCAGTAACTGTAACACTAAATCATTCTTTCAGGCCTGACTTTTTCTTCCTGTTAAGTCATTCAACCTCTGCCTTTTGCTTCTTTTGTAGGGACCGGATGAGAACTTCAGTCAATGTAGTGGGGGATTCTTTCGGTGCTGGCATTGTCTACCACCTTTCCAAGGCTGAACTCGACAGCATCGACTCGCATCATAAAGGGCATGAAGACATTGAAATGACCAAGACACAGTCAATTTATGACGACATGAAAAATCATAGGGAAAACAACTCAAACCAGTGCGTTTATGCAGCTCACAATTCAGTCATAGTAGATGAGTGCAAGGTACCTTTCACATTTATGGATATTGAGACGTGTATATAGCACTTTATGTTTTGTCTTATTTTCTTTTTTAACCTGCATGGGTTTTTAGAATTGTTCCACAAATAACAATGTGAGAACAAGCTCTGTGAACCCCAGACATTTTGAATGAGTTTGAGCAGTTCAAAACATGTTTTTTTGCACTCTTCTTAAAAGTTGTCATTTGACGTGAAGATTCATGTACAGTGTTTACATATCAAAAGGCAAGATGCAGTGTGTTCTGGAATATGCCAAGACACAGAGAATATGGCATCACCTTCTATGGACATTTACCTAATTTTCTTTGGCAACAGAGAACTTAATTGCCAACTCAGATGAAGGATAGCTGCAAACCGCATACCGATGTTGTCATTTGCTGACTGCCTTCCATGTTATGCTGTTCAGAGACGCACATGCTGAATGCACTTTACCATCCGAATGCTCTTGTGCTCAAGCAGTATGCTTACGCTTTGCTTCCATCGTCACTCCTGCTTCGTAAAGACACAAAATTCCTCTTTTCTTTCTAATCCTTGCTGTAACTAACATAAGTTATTAATAGTAATAATAATGTCTTTACCAGAGCAAAGTGAGCTTGAGAAACCCCACCAACTGAATGAGGAAACAATAGGGGATGCTGGTGGTTAAAAGTTTGCTAAGCACCCACAGTTTGCACAGGGCTATTTAAAATCAAGAGAGAAGTTTTAACTGAAGAGGGAGAGAGAGAGAGAGCCTGAAACAACCAGCTGGAAACTTTCATTTCAGAATCAGGTTTTCTAATTAATTTTCTGATCTGCTCCTGTGCATGTTACCTCTGACAGAGTGGGTTTGCCAGTGAGCCAACATGAGCCATTTATTCAAACCTGAGCAGAGATGCTCTCGCCCCTTTCGGTTGCCCAAGCTGAAGTAGTAGCTCACTGAAGGCCTGCTTTCCTTCCATTAGAGAATCAGCACATATATTAGAAATATAAATCATATTTTATTACTTTCACCTATCCCCAGCTGGGCTGGAGCTGTTCTTTAGAATATCTTTTTTTGTAATGCTTAGTTCTAGCTAATGTCTGGCCAGACCTGAATTTCCAGGGGAAAAAATACTGAATTTGAGAAAGAAAAACTTTCATCTTATTCCTGATTTTTCACTGAATCTTTCAAGTTTTTGATAAAATGATTTTTTTTTAATTAAAAAAAAGCATTCTGTTATGATATGGCCCTCCCCTTCCTCTTCTGACCTTTTTCCATGAGAAAAATGAAGGAAACAAGCATTTGGAAATTGAAACAGAATTCATTTTTACAGAAAATTTTTAAGAAGTCATTATTTTATATTTCTTTAAAAAATGAAAATAAATAGAAAAGATAAAAATTGCAAGGAAAAAAGAAATTCCCTGAAAAGAGGTGTCTTCTTTGATAGAAGATTTTTTCCACTAAAAATAAGCAGCCCCCCCCCACACACATACTTTTTGATTAACTTTATACTTCTCTTGGAAAACTATCTTTCAGTGAAATGGAATGTTATAATTTCAGTGTGTTTAGGACAAATTCAGCCACCATGAGTCTGAGTCGGGTTCATGGAACTGAATGCTCAAAATTTTCTCTCCTTCCAGTCTCTCAGAATTGCACAGAGATCCAAGGCCAGCTAGAAAGTAGCCCTTTGATACTATACTTACTGGACTTTCTTTTCTTCAGTTTCTCAAATCATTCCTATCAGCTGAGTCATTAGTTTGTCTCAGAAACATGGAATAATGATACAGTATGTCATTGTAAGCACACCCTTTAGTTAAACTTTAGGACCAAAATTGTTTGAGCCAGCAGTGTTTGACTTTTTTCGTTGTTTTAGGTTTGCACTGGTTTAGATCCCACTTTGTACATTTAAACTTACAGAAGGAGCCAGGGTTTACTTGAACTGAACACAATCTGATTTTGAGCAGGTCACTTGTCTGCCTGCAAGCTGCCAAAAGGATGGATCATGTCAAAGTGGTCGTCATCTCCTAAGTGTTGGAGTAGCAACAGAGTGTAGGTTTTTGGCATTTAAAATAGCCAGATGTTAAATCTGAAGAGACATCTCTTCATCCTGTAGAGTTCACTGGTGGGGTGAAAAGCTCACTGCAAGTCTAGTCAAAACTTTGAAAAGCTAATCTACTAGCATGTCCTTTCTTTTACTTTGTGTAATATATTCCATGTATAGTGCTAGTTGTTTATAATTTTGCATGGTCAATGTATATTTTTAATAGGAAATCTAACTTTATATTGGGGTAGAGTGGTTGTTATTGCATGATATTTTTGTATTTTTTTATTATCACATTTCACATGACTCTGTGTGATTTTCATTTCTGAATAAGCTGATCATTCCTGTAATTGCATGTTTTTCCATTCCAATTCTCCAAGAAAAAGCTTGACTTTATTTCAAAAATCAGTGCATTTTGTCATGTTTCCATGTCCTGATGCTTCCATGCATCCAGTTTATCCAGCATGGGGAATTTCAGCTCTGTCTTTAAGTTTTCATTAGACGCTGAGGATATTAACATATAAGGTAAGTTAGGAAAAAGTGAGTCGTTCTTTAAGAATTAAATGAAAGGTGGCCTCGCTATTTTAAAGGTCTAGATCATGTTTGTAAAGGAAAATTCCTGTTTTACCTTTTAAAAAAATTTTAAGTCATTTGGCTAGAAATATTTCCTTTGAAGGATAGCTTTATACTGACTTTTGGGATGCAGCATGCCTACCATTATTTACCATAAGTTGATAGATCACTAGAGGTCTTCTACTCTACATTTAAACTAAAAATTGTAGCACAAATCTTTATGTGGAAGAGTGACATTTTGTTGTTATACTTTGTGTAAGACAAACAGAGCTTTACTATGAATCTTGGCCTACCCAAAATAGCCAAAAATCTGTCACTACATAAGAAATAGTGATACAGTGAACAGTGCTTTCCCAGGATATCTTTGCCTCCATTTCTTTAAAGCTGTTGTAATTGTAAGTTTGTGTGTACGTATATATATATGTAAACACACACACACATACATGTAATTATTCTGGCCTTGCACATTTTTCTTGTCCTGGCATCAGCTATCTTGCTTTGCCAAGGAATTCTTCTGATCAAATGCAATTTTCTACATTTAAAAAAAAAAAGCTTTTTGAAATAACCCAGAGAAATCTATAGGAGGTAAGACAGAAATAGAATTCTGAAATAGTTATTAAAAACGAAACTACAGCAAAGGCTAAGAAAATATGGAAGTTTTTTTTCTACTGCTAGTGTTTTCTAGTCAATATTAAAAATGAACAGAATCTCACTATTTAGGAGTGTTGTGAATTCTGAATATAAGTTTTACATATATATAAACACATAGTGTATGTAATTCCTGTAAATATCATGATCTTTCATATAAAACTCATGACTTTTCTTGTCAAAGTGCCTTGGTCTTTAAGTCAGTTGTTGATGATAATTACTTGCAGGTTACGCTGGCAACCAATGGCAAGTCTGCAGACTTCAGTGTTGTTGAAGAAGAGCCTTGGAAACGTGAAAACTAAGGGAAGAGATTCCCAGCTCCATCTTTAATAAGCCCTGAAGCTCTCTTCTGGTAAAAGTTATCATGATTGAAGAAGATTTCTCTTTTTTTTATTTAACATCTACAGTTTCTGCTTACTTAATTTGTTAACTGAAACTTAGCAAAGAGCTCCTAAAGTCATTGTAGTGTCTTTGCCAAATAATGATCCCTCACCATCTGGCTCCATTGTGCTGCTGTCTGAGTGGATGCAGCTGGAGACTCCTCTGTGCGCCGAGATGTGCTCTCACCCGCCTCCCCTCTCATTCAAGACACAGCGAATGTAGATACTGCAAAACGGAAAGCTCCAAGAGCCAGTATGGCTCTCTGCAGGGACTCAGGGTCACAAAGACGTAGCGCCAGATAAACGTAACGTCCTGACAGCCTTTAAATGTTTCGGTGACTCTTGTGGCATACCTGTGAATCATTCCCACGGTGTACATGTGATCTAGTTTGCACTGTGCGGCAGAAATATCTTTTGAAAATGTCTATAAAGATTTCTGTTTGTTTTAATAATAAGCACCTGGCATGGGAGGCACAGAAATGTTGTGCCTAGTTGCACTTCAAACCGAACTTAGATCCAGGGGCAAGATTAATGTATGGAAGTCAATAAATTACCCCAAACATTTTACTGCATCAGTACAACTAACATTTGACATCAAGACAAGATCTTACATTTGAGTGCACACGCGTTGTATTTTTTCAGCTGTCACAGATGGCAGATGGAGCCTTCATTTTATTATGGGGCCGTGCTGCTCTGTGACCCCAATGCATCGTACAATACAAGGCAGTATTAATGCAATGGTGGGCTGCTAGTTCCCTCTCTAAATCTATGCCTGATTTGCAAAGTACAGAATACCATGGCCTCAGTTATGCCATCCTTAATCAAATTAGGTAGCACTTTACTATTCACCCTACTGCATTGATTTCAGTGGGATCCCTTGTGTGGAAGGGACTACTCAAGTAAGGTACTACTAGGTATGAGCAAGGATGTTGTGGCTGGCTGCATGATAACTGTTTGCAAGCAAATCCTGAATCTGTTATGCTAAATAATTGAGAGTTTCTGAATGTAATCATTATTAACATTTAGTTTAAAGTGAAAGCCATCTTTCAAGTATGTGTTGTATTTCAGACAATGGCTAAAACCTGAACTCATTACTAAGCTAAATTCCACATTAAAGTTAATAGAATTGGCCAAGAGTTAGGACGGAATGAAGAATAAACTGGAATTTCAGGATTTAGACCAATTGAATATACAGCTGTGTGTCTGTCTCTTTCAGAGTAAACAATTCATACAAATCTCTACTGTCAGAGGAATGATTCCTAGAGCACATGGCATCTGAATTAACAAGACACTGTTTTGTCAACCTAGTATAGCTGGCTCATCCTGTCAGAAGATATCAGAGTCATGATAATCGTCCTGTTAAACGTTTTTGAAGGTACTTGTTAAAACTCAGCAATTTTAAGACACTGGTGAATGCTCTTACAATAGTAACAATGTTCTGTAGCAAAGCTGAGCCGAGGGGCCTTGGGAAGCTCTACCCGCAGAAGCCACAGAACGTTTTGCAGAGCTTTCAGAGGTTCCTAGAATGAACTAGAATAGGAGCATACGATGAACTTTAAAATGGCAGAAAACGGAGTTGAAATATGTGTGGACATAGGCTCGTCAGTGCTCAGAGCTATCATGGATGAAAACAGGAGTAATGTGTTTAACTGTAAAGTGGTACTTGGCTCTGTAGAAGCTATTAAAATATAAACTACTCTTGCTCATCTGCATTCATATAAAAATCTCCAGCAGTGTACACTGACTTGAGCGTTGAAGGTTACTTGCATGATTAATGATGTGTGAGATCAAGTCCATTGTCAGCGTATTCCTCATTCAAGCATTTGTTGGCATGGAATATTTTCTTGCCATCCTATTTTTGTTCTCACATGCCATTGCTAAATCCAAAGCAAAATGGCCTACATAATTTAATGAATATTGAACCACTGTGAATTCTGTAGATCTCTAACCTGCGTTAGAGGTGGAGACCTTTTCCAGAAGTGAAGGCCTCACCTTAAAGAATTTTTTATGGAGGCTGGAACTATACGATATTCGGAGAAGTGATTGGCAGATGGTCTTCTCTTCAGTCGTTGGTGTTAGAATATCTAGAGTTAACCTTTTCCTACCACCTTCTTCTCCCAAAACACAGGGGAACAAACCCACATATTTTCTTCTTACAGTGTATTTTTTAATAGGAAAAAAAGAAAAAAAGTCACCAATTTTTGCACTTTAGGTATTGAATTGAAAGCTTAGGTGTTAAGATCATCTCAGGATCAGGGACCTAGTCTGCATTTGAAGAAATTCTTTCTTCTGGGTTATGTGCCAGCAATGTGCTTCTGAGGGCGCCTAGGTACTCTAAAATATTCTCTCTTCTGAGAGTGCTGGCTCACATCAAGTGAAATTTACTGCCACTTGAGTAGCAGCTGTATCCAGGAATAACACACACAGTTTACTGCAGCATATAGCCTGGCTTCTCAAACCGTGTCACACCACAGTCTGTCAATTAATACACGACTATCCAGCCTGTTCCTCCTAACACTTTCTTAGGAGCAGCTACATCAGTTGCTTGTCTTGAAAGTAGCTTTAGAAAACTGGTCCGTATAAGTCTAGCTGCCTTTTGAAGCTGTGCCATAGCTGGAAGCAAATAGGAGTGCCAGCAGCATGCGACTAGGCCGTGCTGCAAAATTACGTATTGAGAAACACTCAGAATATGCTTACGCTTAGCCGCTTGGGACATGCTGTCTTTGAAGAGTGATTCTTCAGATGGAGAGTAGGGGAGGAAGGAATGAGCTGCTGCAGAAACTCCACCCACGTAGGAGTGAATAAATTTGGGTCTTTTGATAGGACTAGAATAGCAGACTGTGATTTTAAAATAGCAATTCTGTAGATACAGTAACTCAGGGAAGCGTCGAAAGATAATTACGGTGGCATTTCTCTGCTTAAATGTGGATATGGAAGAAGGAGAAATGTTGTTTTTGGTAAACTCCTCTACTTTTACCCTGGCTGAATTCTTAATATAGTGTTACTCCAACACAGCACAGTATTTAACTATCAAAAAGCTTTCCGTTTATCTGGGAAAATGTAACTCATTCTTGGCTTGCATTTCTCGATTTGCTCATTCCACATGAGACTGGGTTGCTACTTAACTGAACAAACACAAAATAACCCAGGAGCTGGCCACTCAAGCTACTACAAGGTTCACGTTTGAGTATACAGTGCTGGTTACTGATCACTCTCTCTTTTTAGTTTTATAAACTAACTTTTTAGTTAATACAATTAATGTATTAATTGCTTCTGGCAAAGGTTTTGTATTTGTTTCCGGTACTTGGGTAGCAAAGTTAAAGCACAGTAGGAAGTGATTTACTTTCTGTGTAGTCCCTGAAGGAATTAATATTTCTTTCTACATTCGTTTTGTTTGTTGTTCTGTCTCTTTCTCCCCTTGTCTGCGCAACTGTGATATCCTTTGCCCTTTGGATTGCTGTATCACTGGCACATGGAAAAGTCTAATCTAGGCAAAGACTCAGTGCTTAATTAAGTATGCTGAATGAAGTACATATTTATGCATTTACTTTATGCATTTATTGCTGAAGCTGGGTCAGCATTCTCTTATTATCGGGTGATTAAAACTGAAGCGTACTGTACATTAAAAGTAAAGAAGAGAAGGCACGCCTTGCTACTGAATTTCCTTCATCACTTAGAAAGCAAAGGCTGCACCAGCACTCTAGGAGGCAAGTGTGGGTCTTATACAGGGAAATGCTTCAAAGAGGTGGGGGTAAGCCATTTGAACCATCTTATGGCATGTGCTTCTTCCATTTGAACCAGTGAGAAACTCTACTTCTTCAGAAAGTTACTTGTTGATGTAGTAAAACCTGGTCTGCAATGTTCTGACTACCTGAAGTCCCACCGAAACCCACGGGAGTCATGGGCTTCCCGGAAAGGCTGAGTCTCTTCCTGTGTCCGTTAAGTAATAAGACGTTTCACAATCCAGTCCTAGGGAAGAGTCACTGTCTGGTATTTAAGACGAAAGTGATTCTCACACCCGAAATGTTTTTGCCAAGATGCTGTAAAAGCAAATCACTTCTATGCTACAAGTCCAGCAAGGAGTTTTAAAGTCTGCATAGAAATTAGGATCACTGTTATTATGGTTTTGAGCTGTTTCTTCCCCGAGATCCAGCTAACCTCCGTTTCTTTCTCAGAGCACATGCAATTCAGAGCTTTGTGTCACTTTAAAATGCATGAATAATTTAGATTTCTGATTTGTTTTCCATCACTTCCAGGGTCATTGCTTTTCTGGTAGTAGATATTCAGAAGTGCAGACTATTCATCTAAGAAGCTGCAGCAACAGGGTTTGAACAAATTCATTCTGGCAACTGCCTGGATTTTCGTTTACTCTCTGCACTTCGCTTGTGTTGTTGTGGTCTTGTTGTAGCAACACAGCAGCAATCACATAATTCCCTGAAAACATAAGCTGTATTAAACCTCACCTCTGACCTTCACTTCTGTAAATGCTTTTAAAAAGGCTCTGAGCTTTAGTACCAGGCTCAGAAAACCCTTTTGTAGACACTTAAAGGTCTAACTGTTCCTCGTGTCATTAAGTTCCGTTTTTCCATTTTTCCATTTTTATTACTGCATTTGAATTAATTTACAGGAGAGGAAACAAGGGCACTTTATAAAAAATGTACTGTAATCTTATTCTGTTGTGAGCCAGAAGACTTTCCTTGATTTTATTACTGTGACTTCTAACGCCATGATTAGGGTATTTTTCATGTTAGCTATTATAATAGACAGAGTCCTTGGGGCCATTCGCCTCTGGTAAAACTCTGTTTGCTTCAACATACAAGGTTGTGTGGAAACTCCTGCTCCCAGCAGGAAGCACCCTGTGGAGGAAGAGTGATTTTCTTTTCTCCAATCATATTGATGATTTCAAGGGAAAAATATTTATCCAATTTCTATTGTCTGAATAACTATATACAGAGCATAACTTCAAGCATTGCAAAAAAAAAATTGCAATACTGAAGTGTCAGAGACAAAAATATAGCTGTAAACAAGTTGATCAATGTCACCATGTTATTTTTTAAGTAAGTGTTATATATCCTTGCTCACAATTTACCTGAAACAATGTGTTAAATATATATTCCTTCCAAAGTCATGGATCTTTCTTCCCCTGCGAACACTAGACACTGTCTATCCATAATCCCCGGACAAAGCACAAGCAGACGCTCTGGTTCTGCCCACCTAAGGCAGGACTTCATGAACGTCCCTAGCAAGTATGCCTGGGTTGGACTGTGCAATGGGTCCCGCCTTAATTTTTTCCACCTGATCATGTTGGATATGAAAATGAAATCTGCTGCTATGAATGAGCCAAATTGCTGCTAAAGGCCAAGTGCTGTGAATTCCTTTACTTCTTGTGCGAATGGGTTCACTGGCAAAAGGTGCTGGAGACCTATCCCTCAGGTTTTCCCACCATCCCAGGGGCATCTTCCCCCTCAGTGGAGACCTGGTGACTTCCTGCTACCAGGCCATACAAATCTGAGCAGATATGGAGGTGTGCATTCAAATCTATGAGTCTTATGGAAAACCCAGGCTTCAAACATTAAAAAAACTTAGAACATTTTACTGAGCCACTGAGCAGGTCTCTGTAGTCTGAGAGGGAACTAACCCATAAGCTAAGGAAGGACTTGGGGAGGCTGGAAGACTCCTGAGATTTCTCACATTATCCAACTTTTTGATGTACTTCCCCTTTCATTTGTAACTATGTTCTGCTGCAGACCCATTATTGATTGATAATGGATTATCCAGTCCTTTTAGTCTGATTTCCAAAATGCAAGAATCTCGCAGTTGTTTTTAATGATGGTCTGTGGCAAGCGCCACGGCACAAAGGGAGACTGTCACAGGCAGCATCACGCAACCTGGATTGTCCGGTGTCTGTATATTGTTTTGTACATAAATAGAATAGTTTGCAGGGATTTTTGTATCATTCTTTTCTATTTTTTTCTACAGTTTTTCAAAGACTGAATGCAAACTATGTTTACAAATTCATTTTGCAGTCAAAATTGTAGATTGTAGCATTTCCATTTTGGTGTTTTGTACGTGCTTGTGAGTTCTTGTGTACTACAGGTTGTTCTGCCTTCTTAAAGACGATTGCACACACTTCCGTCCAACATATCCTGCTCCTTTCTTGAATAGATCCCATTTCCCATGATCTGGTGTGAACTCTAGTTTGTAGAATGCCTGAGAAAAAGTCACATATGTATTTATATTGTTAAATATGATATACTCGGTACCGAACTAGTTATTAATACAGGTTTTATGGGTTTTTACTTATTCTCCGGAAACTACAGTGTAGACTGAACTAAATTACCTAGTATCTGTAATTTACAGACACACAAATATTTTCTTATAATATTTTCTATATGACCGCATAAGATAGATAGGGAAATAATCCTTTAAAGGTGATCTGTACCTTAGAACAAAACCAGTTTTCTTGTAACATTTAGAATCAATCAAATGTTTCTGTGTTACGTTTAATGAACTAAAGAGCATATGTTTAGTGATGAATTATAAACAAAGCACAAAATGTAAGAAGCAAATAGGAATTTCAAGATGTCCTTAAATGCTGCAGTTTGTTATGGAACAATGTTCTTATAACCTGAATAATCTTTTAGATTGACCATCTCGGGCAATTGTCCCTCATTTCTGTCCTTTTTCCTGGTGTTACCTGTGCCAGATCCTGCAGCTGTTTCTTAGGATCTGATCATGTATAACTGACTGACACAGAATGCTGAATAGAGAAAACTGGAGATTTGGGTAGGCAAAAAATACATTATCAGGTACCTAGTCCCTCTTTCTAGGATAAAATGTGCATGAATTCAGCCTGCAGAAAGACTTCATGGCTTGGCCTCACTTTTGCCTCCTTGAAAAGGGACCAACAGAACCACCACGGGACCAGTTAAACCAGGTAGCATCTGTACAAATACCTCCTTCTTTCTTACATATTTTAAAGAACACAAACACTATATTTTTTGACCAAGACAAGTAAGCGTTGCTTCTCTTTTATGGTCATCTGTTCCCATTAGGCAAATACCTCTTGGCATTAAGGCCGTGGCTATAATAAATTGCATTTAACTAACAAGGAACTGTTTTTAAAGGAATAAAAATATTCATAACAAACAGTTATATCAGAGAAAATTCCTTTTACAGCCAAGTAGCTCAGTGAGTGTGATTCAAAACAAAGCAAACTTTGAATGGCAAATAGTGCTGTCCCCGTGTGACTGACACTGGGTAGCTCTTCACTGTTCAGAAATCTACAGGGCTATTATATTCTCCTGAGGTTTTGGAGACTAAATATCTGGTAGGTATACATATAGGAAGTGTGTTGATGTACCCTTGTATTTTAATCTTTCTTGTATTTTAAATCAGATGTACCAGGTATTATCTTAATTGGAACTGCAGGTAGAATAGTGCTACGTGAGTTGCTAATAACAGTAGATCCTTCATGATACCAGTTTTGACATTTTGTTGAAGCATGATGTCCAGTGCCTCTCTGCACTTAGTGTAGATAATGTAGCTATCAATGTGTAATTTCAGTGAAATGGTGTGTACAGTATGGATAGAGGTGCTTTAATTTAATTGAATTGATTGCTCTGCATTGACCCATAGTAGAAAATCAGACAGTCTCTTAAATTTTTGTTCTGCCTTTCGGATTTTTGTTTTTATTTGGGTTTGTTTTCCTTTTGCCCGTTTAACTGAATAGGCTCCATATCTTAATAACTGCTTTATCTGGCTATTACGGAGTATCTTCTTCTGATAACATTCAGAATCATATATGCAGACAACTTACTGTAAATATGTTATCTTTAGTTTACAGCTAGCTAACCAGAATGGTGCATGCTAGTACCTGCATGTGTGTGATTCCCTGGCAGTGAGTGGAAGTGATCCCAGTGCAGATTTGCTGCCTTGCAAATGCACTAGTTATTACATTAAGAATTAATGGGCACAGATAATAATTGGCTTATGATTTGTTTTCTTCTTGTTTGTTTGACGTGTTGGAACACTATCACCATCAATTTAGTAAATCACTGTTTAAATTAGCACAACGAACAAGGGAAAATCCATCTTAACTGCGTTCTCCCTTTGGACACCCTATTTCCTTTTGGCTATGTGTGCGCTGTGCAACGTTCATTCAGTCCGTAGTCACGTTACAGGATCCCACTGAATCCCTTCCAGGTCCTCACTGACTCCAGGCTCCGTCTGGGAGCGCGCTGTTGCGCGGCAGCGCCCGAGCCTGGCCCCCAGCCCGGGGCGGCCGCTGGGGCGCCTTGCGCTGCCCCAGCCCCCGCCCTCCCAGTAGGAACAGCTCCTTCGGTCCCACCATAGCGAGGGTCTTGGAGAAATATTAATAATAGACTCACAGGCAAAGGTCCCCTGTTACTTCCATTGTTAAAAGAGAGGGTATTAGTAGCTATTGGAAGTTAAATAAAACGCTAAATACCTCTCAAGCTACTATGGTTGATGTCCATGACATCTGCTATTTACAAAAAGCGTGTCTGTTGATAAAACACGTTTGAGCTCTATATATTCAGTAGCTAAATTCTGGTGAAATCTGGACTATAATTCCAAACTCTGAGAAAATAAGCAGTTTCTGGGGTGAAAGCTGAAGGTGTTACAAAGTATCACTGATGCTGAAAGGTTTTGGGAGACTTTGGGCGAGATGAATGGCAGGAGCTGAGCCATTCCTAGCTCCCCTGGGCCTGGTTCCCCTCACAACTCAAACATCTCCCTGTAAGGGGAAAGAGATCAAACCCAGGCCCCAAAGCGTGGGAAGCATGGTGAAACCTGGTATGATGTTTCGATTTGAATAGCACACTGTAGTACTCTACGCTACCTCTTCCTCCTACCGCCCGTCCCGGGCCTCCTCCCAAACGTGACCAGTCACGAGCTGCAATCTTCTAAGATATTTCTAAGATGTTTCATGCAAAAAGAATAAAAAACAAGCGGGATCAGGTTTGTGTTTTCCTTACATTCAAAAAGTTCCCCAGATTTTGAAATGACATACTGTACAGTATCTTTAGCACAGTTTGTTTAAAAACTAATGAATGCAGATGATGATAACATTTCTCCCCTCTCTGGGCTCTGCTCTAGTGTGCTGTAGTTGGAAAGCCTCGTAGACGAAGCCTATTTTTGTAGTTCAGATCCCTTCCTCCTTACAGCTTTCTGTAGCCATTCCCTTCTAATGCTTTCTTATGGTGTGAACTGATTTCTGTAACTTTCATGTATAAAACAAACTGGACATTCTTTCTATACTGGAAATAATCGTGAATATAATATTTCACTAAATGTTGTACCTCTTATGTACATATCATCAATAAATGTTGGTTCCTAATTTTCATGGCTTATATGTGTGAGTACTACTGCAAGCTGGGGCTCAGTACTGAAATGTTTCAGATAGGAGTTCAGATAAAACAGAATGATCTGAGAGGCTCTCTGCCCTGAAAAACTGGAGGAACTATAAAAAGTGAGTCTGAATTTGTTAAGTGCTAGAAATCTCACCCCTCACGGGGGTACTCTGAATACTGCAAACACTGCAGGGCTGCACCTGAGTTCGTTTGTCATGAAGTCCAGGATGCAAAACCCACAGTTCTTGGCATTGAGGTCTAGAGATATGCGTGATGCTCTATTTATTTCATATGTAGGCTGGAATACTAAAACTAGAGAAGTAGGAAGAAATATTAGAAGAGTAGGAGGATAAGACAGAATAGTTGCAATTGCTTTAGCAATTTTTTTTCTGCTAAAAAAAATTTTTTTTCCTCTTAGCTTTTCTTAAGAAAAAACATAATGCCTTTAGCTGAACCTCTGGACCACTTTGTGGAGAAATGTACTGTATTTAATACATGGATTAAGAGATGCTCATGAAAAGAGCCATGGGCCAAAGGACTGGCAGTGGCTGAGTACGAAGCAGAAGCTATGATGTTTGTGAGCTCGGTGGGACACACAATGGAAACAGCATGATCACTGTGAAGTGATCAGTACACCTAAATCAAACCCAGTCTGCAAGGTTTCACAGCCTGCGACACCCTGGGCTTGTGTCTTACTAATCTAACCAAGGTCAGCATTTGCTTGAGAAGTTTCCAAAGAAAAGGCAGGCATGGCAGGAAGTGGCTTTGGCAGTTCTTCAGCTGGCATCCTTCCCTCTGAGTCACTAACGAACCAAAGTCCTAACAAGGTCCAGAAGATTTTTTGGCAAGAGATAAATCTGAGGCCCAGGTTATTCACTGCCATTTCTATACCATGTCAACACTTCCTGCCAGAGGAAGGATGTTACAACATGCTAGTCTGTCCTCCTCAGCCGGCACTGATAATAAATGTGTTCTGCTGACTTTTAAGTTCCTCTTGAAGTTTGTTGCGTTCAGGATCCCCATCACTCCCGTATTTTGTTTGGTGCATTGTGCACTTTCGGACTCCTTCCATAAAAGATGGTCAGCCTTTTTGTTACACATCATGCCAAAGCATTTGAAACTAAAGGCACAACACTATCACCTATGCTGACTACTTTTTTCAATCTATTTATGTGAGAACGAGCTAAAAAAAGCATGCAGGAGCCACTTCTACAATTATATGAGGTTATCCCTTTCAAAAACATGCATCCCACAGGCTGATTCTGTAAGCCCTTGTAAGCGCCTTGTAAGCCTCTCTTTCTCCTAGTCCTCAGCTTTAGAAAAAAAATTATTTCTGGCATGTCTTTATGGCCCAAATGTGTCCGCCACTATGAGATAGTGAAGAGACATAGAAGACAATGATGTCATGAATCACTGATCCATATTAAGAGATATTTCTATATGCCCTCCCCCTTTAGGCATGAAAGAAAAACATAGATAACATTTTAGAGTCAATAAGCCTTAAAGACAAGCTTCTCCTTTGTATTAGACTATATATGTAAACAGGAGAAGGATATGAAAGAAGCAGGTGGCCCCAACGTACGTTCTTCAGGAAGAAAACAACACTAAAAATGTCAAGCTAGCCAGAATTATTTGTAGGGAGCATTTATACTAGCAGGATGTGCAAATATCCCAATGGGATTTAGCTCCCCTGAACTAGAGAAGCTCCACTGAAGAGATCCCAAGATTGCAGGAGGCATCGTGGGTGCGCTGGGGACAGCCGAGAGCTGGGGCTCCGCAGAGCCAGCAGACGTGCGTGCAGGACGTCCAACGGCAACTTCTGCTGTAGACACAGCAGGATGGAAACTAGATTGCATGAGAGATTAGGTCTTGCGGTTGTGTGGCTGCTCCTGAGACAGGCAGGCACTGCAGTGATAAGCGAGATGTGTGTGCTCAACAGCTAAGGCACAGTGGCAGCCGCGGCCCCAGGGCCCTGCAGTGGCAGGCACCGTGGGAGCCGTGCCTGGCACTGCTCGCAGCACTTCCTCAACACAGGGACAAAAGAAATCGAGGGCCCACCTTTCACAGTGCTATAGCGCTGGTCATTTTCACTTAGCACGAAACAAAAAATATGGCTGCGTTTCCCATATACGTTTGTAAGATTGATCTACCCTGGTTTGGTTGCTTCCTTACTTGTGTGCCTGGAGGTATTTCATGGACCAGTTTCTTATGGTCCTTGGACACCACTGGAGAAATACTGCTCTGGAGACCTCCAAGGAAGCGAAGAGCGTTGCCTCCTGAACTCTTCGAAGAGAAAAGGGAGAGAGACCAATCTAGGAAATTCATCTAGAAATTCATTCCACTGTTTTACCTAAATTACCCAGATTACCTCAATTGCCAGGAGTAAATAAACTTTGTTAGCTTACTTTTTTGCCAATGATTTTGAAGGCACTATTCTGTAATATGAATGAACACTGCTCTAGAAAAGACTCACCAAGTAAGACCCACATCTTTGCAGAAAATCAGCACAAAGCTGCCCCTGTGAATGGTGTCTGAATTCTGTTTTCCCCGCTCAGGTGGAATTTAACTAACCTGCAGGCTTTTTACTGGCCCACTGCACAGGGGCAAACTGCACTCTTTTGAAGAAAGGATAATTTTGGTTTTTTTTTTAAATCATTAACTTAACAAACAAATATCTTTCTTTACCTGGACCTCATTTCAAACTTTCTTTGGATGCCTGAAAGAACCATTAACTAGAAAAATGAACCATCGGAGAACAACTGCAGGAAAGCTCCTGATAACTATAAATTTAATTTATTTCTACCTGTGAATCTGACGACCTGCTGCTACAAAACAAAATAGGCTTAATTGTATTGTAAAACAAGGCAATTGTAACTGATGATTGTAAAACAGTTTTACAAACAAAACAATCCAGTGTACTTCCACATTGCAAGAAGTATAAATAGGCAGCATTTAGACATAGGTTGCCACTGCATGACTGAAGCTGAAACTGTTTGTAGCTCTGAAAAGTAAAATTAACTCAACATACTGTTCTGGAGATTTGCTGTGAGGCTTCTATTATTTAGGGTTTTAGTCCAGAGCATTTGCAGAAAGTATTTTCTCTCCCGTGCCAAGGAGGTAAGGAGTCACGCAGTTGTCAGCTGGGATCACGGTGCCTTTGACAGTGGTCCCAGCTATATGAAGGGCTGCAGAGACTTGTTTCCCCTCCAGGGAGGCTGCCTGAAAGTTCTTCATCTTAGAAAAAACTCAGTCTACAGGCTAGGGGTGAAATCCTCCCACTGTCTCTCTGGAGCAGCTACAGTAAGGGCACCAGTAAAAATCATCATCGGTAGCCTTGAACAAGATGCTTACTATTAAAAAGAGAAGGCAGACAAAAAGTGGTAAACTCAGATTTACTATCTGATCATGAGGCAAAATATATTCAGTTTATTACTGTGTGTTCTGGGTAAAATGAAAGCGTGGCGTCTTGGTTCATGCAAGGAAAATGTTGTCATTGAAAATGATCTAAGCTTTTTTTTAAATTAAGCCAGGAAAAAAAGAACAGCAGTGCCAGAAGCTAGAAGTACCCCAATGACTGCAAGTAAATTTAGGTCTAAGGCTAAAACTCTGCCTGTAACCAAACCATTTATACACGGCAACGCAGGACTGACATACAGGTAGCAAAGGTCACCCCACGCTAACACGACAGCCTGAGGCAAGGCTTTCAGACACCAAGCACAAAACTTACAGCCCATGGAGAAGAGGTGAAAAATACCTCACTGGATCCTCCTCTACCCTGGGTTGCTCTGGCAGTTTGAACTACCTTGGCAGAGCTGGAGCCCGTCTGACTGACCGTACCCTCCGCCGCCCGTGAGCCGCGTGCTGGTTTCCCACGGGCAGCCCCCGCAGCCCGAGCTTCGGCTGCGCCTCTGGCATCGCCCCCAGCAGCGCCTCTTGCCTCACGTTCGGCACCAGGAAGAAGTTACTGCGGGGCTAAAACCTGAGTTACGGGGGGTGCTCCAGAGTGGGAAATCTGTCAAAACTGTTTTAGGGTTTTCTGATAGGCACACTTTAATTTATGTCACATCCTGTTTGAATTGATTAACCCTGTTTTCCTGTAAATTTACACAGACGATTTTCCCCCATGGGCAATAAATTACTTCTAAGCATTTTATTTTAGTCTGAAAGGAAAGCCATATTATGTGTTAGGCATGATGAATTTTCTAAAAAAACATAATTCTGCACAATTGCATCTCCTGTTCAGGATATTAGAACTAATTTAAACTGTATCTTTTTCTGGAAACCAAAATTACTCATCTTCTCATTTGACAGTCTTTGAGCATTTGCTTTGATCCAAATCTTCATCATTTTCATGTGTTTCTTTTTTCCGAAAGACAACACAAATCCAATGCCATTCACCTCAGCGTTCAACGTGCAGATCTCAGTGGGAGAGAATTTATGAAAATGGGTTTCATCCACCCATTCATTCATCTGAAAAGCCCTTCCTGTTGAGAAAGAGGTTTTAATAAAAAGCTAGAGAATCCTTAGTTTAGGCAAAACCTCCATATTTGCTGGAATTGTCCAAACAAAATGGAAAGAAGACTGAGCTTAAAGCATACGCGAAGCTGTTTGCTGTCTCTGCTTTACTTACACCTTAAAAACAATCAATCAGCTCCCTTGAGGGCAAGAGACCTTCCCTGATGCTGTACTCACTTCTTTAACTTCAATTTTTCAAAAAGCTGTGCTATGGCCCAGATCCACCTAAGTCCTGCACTTCAAAAACAGGAAGATGAGCAAGAACAGGTGTGCTCTAGAAATCTTGTCAGAGTAGAGGCGTTTGGCTAACCCTGCACCGATCAGTGGGATGGGGAGGCGGAAAGTACAGTCTGTGTGCTATGTAGAAGACACCATTACTCATCTTCATCAAATTTGCATTTTGCCAGTCATTTCTCATAGTCACAGCTGGCTGCTCTCCTCGTCGGGCTGGTGAGTACCACAGGCCGCGTGGCAGAGTAATACTGAGAAGTCGGCGGCTAGGGGGAAATTGGTCAAAATTAGTTTGCAAATGGGGTGGTACACGGTGGAAGGTGTCCTGGAGGTGGGGGGTTCACAAGAAAAACCCTATTTTTTTTTCTTTCTTAGAGCTGTGAAACATTCAAGCACCAACACCCTGGGAATGTTGACGGGACTTTCCCACGGAGCAGCACAGAAAATTCGCTCTCCCTTCACTTCACCTCCCAGCAACTGCGTCCTCCCTCCTCCCCAAATCCCATGGGGTTCCTGCCCTCAAAACACCCTTCCGTAATTCTCTTAAAGAAACACGTTTGGTCTCCCACTCCCATGGAGCTGGATCGGCACCCCCAGGAAGAGCACAGTTCACCACTTCTCCTTCCGCCTTTTCATCTTTTTCCCCTCCCCAGAGGAAAACTTAGTCAATACCTGGCACTGTCCACAGGGTCTGTACTCTTTAACTAACCAAACCTCTTGGTTAGTTAAAGCAGTCAGAGCCTTGAACTGCTTAATAAGGCTAAGAAATGACTGCTGGCTGCAATATTGAATGTTTTGTCCTAAGGGCCAAATATAACATAAAATAACCCCCTTAACTGCTGGCTTTCTAAGCATCCTGGCTTCTGTGTATGCTGAGGCAAAATATCATTCTCAGAGCACATAATTTTTTTCCTTCGTCTACAGAAAGAGTAATTAAGCCCAGCTTGAACCAGGATCATGAATTAACCTCTGTCTCTGCCCAGCACCATCGCTATGTGCTAAAAAGACGCAGGGTAGTTACCTCCTGGTACTACTCTAGTCAATATGCTTCAGCCAAAAGTTATCCCTAAGAAGCACTGTGTTGTGCAGAAATACCAATTTGGAACTGGTGCTGCGGAAAGGGCTAAAAACAGCCACTTACGTAGACATGGAGAGTGCCCTTCCTTCCTCTTTCTTCAAGAAAATACAGGTGAAATGATCACCCCAGATTGTCTGATGAAAACACTCCATTTTCATGAAACAGCCAACCTCTCTCTTCAACATACTCAATGCTGAGAGAGAGGGTCTGGACTACACCAGCTGGCAACTGTTCAGGAGGAAGGAACACCAGGGGCTGACCGCAGGGGCTGCTCTGGGTCCAGCCTTGTCTCCTCAGCCTTTTTAAGGGAGATCCCTGCCCTTCCCAGGCACAGGCCAGGGTGGACCAAGCCCAGCCGGTCCCTCCGCGGCAGCACTTGGGCAGCAGGCCATCCTCAGCTGAGCTTAACTCGGACCAGGTTATCGGCTCCTGGAGGAGGAGCTGAGTTTGTTGCTGTCCCCATGGGCCGGGGAGCCTACCTACGCAGGCCGGCGTAGCTAGCGTACGAGGTCACACGCATCCGCCTGCACCTGCTGCGGAGCTCACAAGCAGAAGAGCTGACCTCTGGCTCACCAGCACTAGAAAGGACTATCCTGCTGCACAGCTCTTCTCTCCCACTAGTAACGCCAATCTTGTCTTTTATCCTCAATGTGGAATCAAGTTTATTTTTGGAAGCTCATTTTACAATTCAATTCTTTTTAGCAATACTATTTCTAGATACAATTTAGAGATAATATTTTCTTTCATTCTGATTAATTCGTTAAATAAATATGCAAATATATCAATCGGTCTCTATAAAAAAATACACACATGAAACGAACAACCCCTCAAACAATAAAACTGAGCTTAATACAAATACTTACTATATTACATGTATGAAATGGCCATGTAGTTCTGAAACTATAATGAAACTTAATTTCAGATAAATCACATGACATAATCTAAAAGGAATCAGCATATATAAAACAAGAGCATTGCCTCCGTAAAGAGAAATTGAGCATCTCCCTATTTAAAAATATAAAAAGAAGCCCAACAATATTGTCCGTGTATTTATAGATACTGCACATAAGATAAATTAGGAAGGCAGTTTCTCCATTAAACATCTGAACAGGGAGATGAATAACATGCTGCAGTCTTCTTTTAGAAAGCTTTAGCCTTCAAGACAGTGAGTTAACTCCTTTTGATAGAGGTTTATGTTAAATTAGGATTCAAAGAGAGGAATAATCCTTCCTCTGGATCTCTATACTTAGCAGAATGAGCATATAATGCCAGTTTTAACACAGCCTTCAACAGTTTGTTTTGATTTATAATGACAAATAGAAAAGCTTGCTTAAAAACATTACAAGCATGAAAAAAAAAATCAATGCACAAAGTCAACAGACTTCCCACAGCACAGTTCGGTATTAAAATGCGTGCTCATGATAGGGCTGAGAAGTTTGACAGTGGACCACATGCACTGATAATGTAAATAGCTATGACCCCCACTGCCTTCAGCTTGTTTGAACATCTACAGACCATGGATTATGTAGCTGCTCATAGACGAAACGTACTGGCATATGACAAATCTGAAAGCATCCTATGTGTCCCTTAACATCACAGCTTGTCTTGGGTCCTATTGCCCAGGCATTACTTTCCCCTGGGGAAATCTGCCTGTAGATTGCCTGTAGGGCAAAGAGCAACTCATAAACACATGGCAAACCGCTGAAGGGCTGTAACTGAGAAATATAATCACAACAATCTTGTGTTTTATGGTCCAAAAAGGATCAGTTCTAGCTAATGTTAGTATTTTGCCAGCTGAGTACTCATCTTCCAATCTGCTTAAATGGAGAACATAAAATAGCATGCCTCAGTAGAACAATTTTAAATGAAGGTGCTATGAGCAGTGAGTGAACATGAATATCTCAATAAACCAGTTACAGAAGATTCCCCATCCCACAACTAACAGAGACCTCACTGTTTGCAGTTACCTTACGTTGTTTTTCTTACATGCTTTCTGAGGCAGCCCAATTAGCAGTTGTCAGTCTCCCTCCATTCCAAAATGCTTTCTTAAAAATGGCACAGACTACTGGTAGTAAATAGTTTTCTTTCTGGTAATTCATATCAATATAATGCACAGCATCATAGCTTAATACAAACACTTTTCATAACAGACATATAAAGACAAAATAAAAGCATATGACAATGCAGCTGCAGCTATTTTACTATATTACAATGGTGGGAGAGTTTCCTTTAATTTTCTTTGATCTTTTTTGTAGAATTTCAACTTCTGGTACCAACAAACAAGCTATTTTTCTTCTGGTATTTTTAAAAAGCAGAGGAAAAAAAAAGTGGATGAAATAGAATTCATAGAAAGTGAGCAAGTTTTAAAATATTAGCAAACTGGGGTAATACAAAGGAAGCAAGGGAAGATGGAGCCCTATTCTTCAGAAAATAAAATATTGTCATCACATTTGATGATTTTCAATTGCTTGATTTATACATGTATGATTAAGCTGGGGTCACTCTATTTTACTCATTAGCCTTATTAACTGGCTTATTAAAAACATACACAAGCTATGACCAGTGAAGGAGGGAGGGGGAACAGCAATGAACACCTCAAAAACTCAAGGATAACTGTACAGATTAAGATAATAGAGTATAGAAGTTTATTATGTATCAGTTCATGTTTTCATGTCTTTATTCCCCCTCCCAGGAAGATTTATTATACTCCCACAGACATTTAAAAATAGAGATAAATAAACTTTGTCCTTCTGGGTTTCTTGCATTACAGATTAAGTTGTAAATCATTACAAATCACCATTTTTTGCCTATTTTGAATGCATCTACCACTCTTCCTGGCTGGAAAGCATTTCTGAAGGATTCTGAAGTTTTAGACATCGTATAGAAGGCCTCTATGGTTTTAGTTTCATTTTCACTCTTGACATTTATTCCTCACTTATTCTTGTACCATGGCAAGTTTAGTACCTTAAGTGCCTGTAAGGTGGAGCGACTGGATACTCCTGTAGCTCCGCACAGCGAAGATGCTGCATCTGGGGATCAATGATATAAACTTGTATCCCTCCCAACACCAAAGACAAAGTGCCTTCCATGTAGGAATTGGGAACCGATAAATTTATGCAACTCTTGGGGACTTATTTCAGAAAGGAAATATCAATTTTGCAACCTGGACATGATTTTAAAATAATTAAAAATGAAGAAAAGTTATGTTTAATTATGTTCAAAAGACATCAGTAGCACAGTGCATCTGTGAACTCCTGTCCAAGTTCCTTGTGATTTTGATTTCCCCAAATCTGATCTACTTGACGACTTGGTGCCATTACACTCCACTCTTCATGTCAAGCTCCTGATGATTCTGTGTTTCATCAATGGTCAGGAATTCATCACATGCTCCTGTTCGGTCATTTGACTGTTCTTTATGAACCAAGTGCACCATTTCTTGTGATTTGCTGGCTTCTCCATTTAATCCACCCGTCTTCCTGTCTTCCACTGCCCCTTTGCCATTGTTAATCACTAGCTTTTTCTTCTGCCCACATCTAGTAAGAAATAAAAATAAAATAAGCACCAAAATGGAGACTAATGGAAATTAAAGAAATGAAAATTCTAGTCAATATTGAGGAAAAGACGCTTAGACATGAGGCTTGGGTCTGCAAGTGCAGACTTATGCAACGCAAGGTGTAAAGTTTCTCTGGGTTGCATATTTTATTTCCAGATGAAGCCACCATTTATGAACAGCCACCATGATTTTAGCAGAAGCCCACTGATATGATCACCAACTACCTCTACTACAGATAGGACTACTATGCACTACTGAAAGCTAGAAACGATTTGCTAATACTTGAACATTTCCATATTTATTAACTTTGTATATATGCCACAATAAGGACAGGGTCATGCTAACTCAGGTGCGGGACTAGACCTCTGAAATTCTCAATTTTTTTGAGACAGCTGGAAATTTGGATCAAGGGACCAAGCTCTCACCGAGTTATAAAAGACAACATTTTCCTTCTTTGTATTAGCATGTCAGGCCGAGAATCCTGCCAACTGCCAGGGAATAAGGCAGGGTTACACTTGCTATTATCAAGAGCTGAGATCATTGAGAAGACATTAAGGCAGAGAATAGCTACTGTGTTTTTAGAGTTGCACTCACTCCAGTGCTACCCAGTAAATCCTATATTTAGCTACAGATGAACACAGAAGTAGTCTTTAAGTAGTAGTACTTTAAAAAAAGTAGTAGTTGTATAGCTGTCAGCTATGCCTCACGCTGCTCAGATGGTTCTCTGGCTATACTGTGCTCAATATTTAACTCGTTGTCTTTGAACAGCCTGGTGTAAACCGAATATACAAAGCACAGCTCCCTTCAGAGGGACACTGTCTTTGTGCAGTTGCACTGATTTTGTCTGAATGACTAATTTGGCAGTTTAATTATACTATTATCCTTCTGAGGTATTTTTTCTTATATTTACACACTGATATGTGATAGTATTTTTTCTTATGTTTATAGACATTAAGAAACTGTCACTGACATGTGACCGTTGTTTTAGCCAAAGTAGCTCAATACACCGTGCTTATATTATACAAACACTTGCGAAAAATTCCTGTTCTGCAACTGTGAAACGCCAAAAGAGAGACGAGCGAGTGGCAGTGAAATTCTACCGCCTCTCAGAAAAGCGGCTCAGGTTTTCTTTCCTGACATGCAGGTCAGGCTGCGCAGTATCTTATGTTGGACTCTGGAAGGAGACTCAAACACCTTTCACAACAGGCACCAGACTGAGAGGCAAACTTCTTTGCAACAAGAGGAATAAATAAATAAATAAATAGATAGATAGATAGATAAATAAATCACAGCACACTGAGCCTGGGGCCATTTTATTTTTTGTAGGAGAATTTAAAAAAACAGTTATTAAAAAATAAAGGAAATACTAAAGCCAAATAATTTGCTATTCATTGAGAAGAGCTGATCGCTTGGTTGAAATGCTTTAAATCTCCTGTGACATACTGACCTCCTAATGAGAAAGGCTAAATCTGCTGAGTTCTGAATCAAGTAGTTTGTGCCTTGAGCCTAACTCCTGCTCTCCCTCGGCTCTTCCAGACAACCAGAATGAGAATGAAACTGAAAGAGCTGCAGTTAACATCCATTCGGAAAATGGCATAACTGATATCATTCTACCAACCAAAAAAATGATAATTCTCCTGTTTTTTATAAATTGTAATGCTTACAATTTTCTCAAGTTACTGCTCAGCTAACACCGAAATGTTCAATCATCCTCTTTTCCAAACTCCAAACTCTGTTGTGGTACAGCTGTAGTGTTAGTTTCATATTAGTTGACATTCACATACAGTACGCTTACTGCACAGCAACTACCTCTCTGTGAATTTTCAGCACATTAGCACTGATCAGAATAGATGAACACAGGATCCTTAATTTATCCACATTATTACTTGGATCCTGTTAAAGTGAAATGAAAAAAATCTTGTTTCAAGCATCTCAGACTATGTCTCTGCTTCCAAAAATTTTCCTCACAGTGATTAACACATATTGCTAGGGTCTAATCCACAAATCTGTATGCATACATACACCCATGTGCACTTTCTCTCTTTTCGTCTTGCTCCCAGTTGCATGTAAGTGCTAAGTAAAAAACAGATTTTTCCATTAACAATATCTAGCATATGATTTATAGCTTTGAGATAGCATCTGATGAGAAATGAAGCAATCCATATTCAGTCATACGAGTGCTGTTTGGCTGTTTCTATGGCAATGCTGGGTTGGAAGGGAAGAAACAATGGCAGTCTCTGCTTTCATAGACATAACAGAGTAGCACGTAAATCAGTAAGCCATACTATTCAGACTATGTAACTCCAGAATCACTTAATGGAAAGAAAGCTGTAGTTTATTCTGTCTCACCATGAGCTTGATATCTTATTTTAGCATGTCTCCAATAACTTTGTCAGAGAAGCATAGATATCGTGGGTACAATCACAGCGACAACGTGCTAGGAGGCATCTCACCACCTTCTTCAGTAAGACCATATTAGTTTACTCCATCTGACACTTTGGCCTGTAGGATGCATTCAGTTTGGACTTCCTTGCCTCAGAGAAGCTTTCTGTGTCAGAGGCAGGGACTAGTTGGGGTGCTCCCTCACTAGGGTGAGTGCTTTAGTCTAGCACCCAAGTCAGGCTTTGGAGTACCTGACCCTCTCTTGCAGAAGGACTAATGCGTGCTTTCCTGCAACCAGCAAACCAGCAAAAAACTTGCTCACTGCTTCCTGAACAAAACTATCCACATAGGATATATTTACTCCGGTAAGAAGTTCAAGTTTAACATTCAAGTAGCAATAAGCTGTTTCTGACAATCGAGAAGTGACATCAGAACAGCCACTAGAGAAGAGAGCCCAGAACCTCATTGCCTACTCTTTAGACTACTCTTCCGCAGACTTCTGGCTAACCTTGCACAAATCACTGCAGCTTCCAGTTCTTCAAGTCTCTGCAGCAGAGTTAAAGCAGCTGCTGACAGCAAAACCCCTTATTACCTGCAGGTGAATTCCCCCCCCAGCAGCTGCCCAGCCCCACAGTTCTTACTCCTGTGACTGCCAGCTGTGATGCTGCCTTTGGTTTGGAAGGAACAAATTAATCGTATGCCTGCAATTCTCTGATATAGCCTTTCACACAGTACCTCTGTCCCTGTGGACAACAGTCTGTTAATGGTAGAGGATTATATTCAGCTCAGCCCATATAACACACTTTTCTTCTCAGTGAATAGGATCTGTCTATTAATAAGTTATAGATAGAGAATAGTTACTTCTCTCTGCTCTGATTCAGTTTCTATCTACAAATAAAGACTAACGTATTTCTTTATGCAGCTACTGCCTTAAAGTGATTCCACGTGTGTAAAGTCTCATCTGTGACCTGTGCTGCACTGGGGCCTCAACTTACAGATCTCTGCAGTGGAAGCTCTTTCCTATGTTACACTACTCTGGTCTTGCATGAAGCTGTGAAGCCTCTCAAGGAGGAAAGTAAAGAAGCAACATGTTTTGAAAAAGTACAGGACTTCCTTACCTTCTCCGACTGTTAACAGCGATGCAGACTGCAAGAATCAACCCCAGTGCCACAAGAGCAGCAACTATAATCAACCATTCTGTGGGTAAAATTGAGGGAGGGGAAGGGAACCCGTTAATATATCTCATACAGTTTTGTCATGTCACAGAACTGCAAGGACACAAACGCTTTTACATTCATTTATACTGCCATTTTTTTTCCCTAGCTTGCATGAATGTTTTTCATTTTACAAAGTGCTCCCGCACATAGCAAATACTTTATTAGCAGTCTCACTGAGTACGCTATTAAAAAGAGCATTCAGCTACAATCAGGCCAATGCAGATGAAATACCTAATCACTGTTAACACCTGTAAGCACTGTACTTTGGTCAGCACAGGTGGAAAAGAGTTGTATCACTGATTTATTCCAAGACCTATGACAGGCTTACTGAGACATCTGTAATCCTGGATACAAAAGTAGGGTGACTTTAACGTAGAGTGAAATGTCTACCTTCATTTTTTTCCCTTTAAAATCTTATTTTAGTAGGCATTTTGAGAGCAAATCCTGAACAAAGGAACTACAAAGTCATAATAAAGAGGCAAAACTGGAAGGGTCTCTAAGAGGTCACATCACTTACGTTTCACTCCAGTGAAACAGGATCAGTAAGAACACGCTTGAGATGTTTCACTTGCTCTTAAGATTTTGAATAATGGAAAATTCACAGCCTTCCCAGTAGTCTATTCTTTATGCTTTACTACCATGATAGACAGAGATCCTCTCCTAATAGTTAACCCTTTTTTCTTTTGCATTTGAAATAAGTCTAATTGAACAAGTCTTCCATGTTTCATATGCAACAAATTACTTCTTTTAATTGGCTAATTACTGTTACTCCGTGGTAAAAGCTGATAAACATTCTTTTACTCATCTCACATTTCCCTTCATTCTTCTCTAAATATGAGTTCTTCTGAACTTGCCTCAAAGCTTACCTCTTTGAAAGTTATCTTTGTGGTCGTCTCTGCTTTTTCTATTTGATTAATAAAATGCAATGTCTTGCAGTGAACACAGTACTGCAGCTCCAGACTTGCCAGGCCCAAGTAAAGTGGAATAGTTACCCTCTGTGTCTTACAAAAGATTTTACTATTAATATATCCCAGAATGTACTTGCATTTTTTTGCAATGATATCATGGTGTTAGTTATTTCTGCTCCATTTTAATCTGCAGGTCTTTTTCTGTAATATCGTTGTCTCAGCTGTCGCTTTCACTGAACGTTCTCACGGATACGATACTTCATATTATATCTTTACTGAATTTCATCTAATTGATTTCAGATCAACTTATCAAAATTAATTAAATCTTAATCCTGTTCTCCAAAATGCATACGATTTCTCTCATCTTGATATAATTGGAAAGTTTTATAAGTTACAATATGCTACATTCTTGAGACTACTAATGAAAATGCTCAGTATTATCTGTTTCAGAACAAAACCTGAACAACTGTACTTGACCTACCTTTTCCTCTCTTGCTTCAGTTCATATTAACACAATTCTGTGCTTAAATCATAAAAAGAAATGAAAACCTGGAAAAGAAATGAAAAATGTGAAAACTTACCTGGTACCTGGGCCGATCTTGGTTGCGAATTTATTGTTGTTGTGGTCTGTCCAGGGAAAGGAGTGGATTCATAATCTCCCATATGTGGTCCTTTATTGCCATATACACTGGATGTAGATCCTAAAGAACAAAAATATCCCTTAGGCCCAATATGTCCAGTGAGTATTTAACAGTAAGGTACCTAGGATATAGCTTTCACAATTTAAAATATTTATTAAATAACAAAAAATATTTCTAGGAAGTTCACATTGAGGTCATTAAAAAGTATTTATACCGAAAACTTTTGCGTAGACTATATTCATACTCATATGAACTATGGTTAGTTTTAGTACTTTGAATAACACAGTTCATGGTTTTCCCCTCTCATATGTTTCTTTTTTAACTGTGATACAGTTCTATGAACCAAAATGTGATTAGAACTGCCTAGAAATTTTCTAGGAAGAATGTAAGGGCATCCAAATTTTGGCAGATTTTTTGAAAGATGTTTTTGACATATATGGTTAAATGTCTTGCCTGATCCACGGGAAAAAAATAGAATGCAAAAAAGAACATGTAGAGAGAAAAAAGAAAATGTAACTTTTTAAAAAAACTGAAAATAATCACTTTGGAGAATTTTTTAAACTTTTATTTTTATTCCTACATAGGATAAATGAAGCTAAATTTCTAAAACTTCAATGTGCCCATAAAACAGAAGTGTAGTTCTCTGGATGGTTTAAAATTTGATAGCTTTGTACATGAAGAGGACTGTGAAAAATCAAAATATGTTTCCTAACAGCAAAAAATTCTCTCTGTAAACCTGCATATGAATCCCTCTGCCCCTTTGAATATGCTGTGCAATTTGTTTCTAAAATCTTAAATCCAAATGCACACTTTGAGTTTCAGTTATCTGCTGTGATGGCCACACCCCTTGAACTTTAATGTGACTACAGTATTATTTCTGGCCCACTCTGTTCCCATATGGATATCCCAGGTCCCAAATGAAACTACTAAAAGTATCTTTATTGTCACTACACAAGCCATATTACAGTTCTTCATCTCTCTGAATTCTTCCAGACTCTGATAGAGCAAATTAAGTGCTTACTCCAATCAAAAGTAAAGTTCTTTTTCTTGTTCTTTAACACCCATTCCAACTCTAGTCAGCACCTCTGATCTCACTTCCTAATAGCAGCTGGCAAATACAGAACTAAGCAGCACATTTTTCCTGCTGCTAGTTAGCCAACAAGTAGTTTATGAATCTTCCAGATGTTCTCATTTTATTTTTTATCAACAAGAAACTTATTGACTGATGAGCTGTTTTGTGCTATCTCACCACTAATTTCAGCAACTAAGGGATCAGAGCTGGTCTCCAAGAAAGCTGACTAAGACAAAAATACTGAATTGTCTATCAAACACGTCAGTGGATTTTTTTAAGGTGCTTTATATCATCCTTGAGAAATGGCACAGCTTCTGCAACTGGAAAGCCCCTTAGATAGATACGCAGATGTTGATTAAAGACCCTTGCGCTCACAGAACGGCTGTCTCCACCCTCTCCTCCCCTACGCCCGGACAGCACGCGGGATGCCGTTACGTCCGTCGTGTTCTCAGCCAGGGGATGTGCTTCCAGGAGGCAGAAAGGGATCCTAAGAAACTCTCTAAACTTCATTTTGAAGTTATGCTGTTGTATTTTTTCTTTTTGAGTTACTTTTTGGGTTCCTCCCGTGGATCGATTCATTATTCCACTGTGACGCTTGGACAAAAGATCAGTCATTAGTCAGACCACAGCTTAAGCACTGCTGTACAGAAAAAGCAAGCGAAAGAAAGCGTAGTACATTGAGCAATTCATCTGTTCAGAGAAGGCCTTTAAATACAGTCTATCAATACATTAATAAATCTTTTACATTACATTAGAACTATATGTGGCAACATTACAAATGAAAGCATTCCTCAATAAATAAACACTTTCTGTGATGATGGTATTGTCCTAGTAACTTCCTTGTATTGTGTTTTTAAAGAACACCAACAGAAGATAAATTAATAAAATGGAAGAGTTTGGGGAAGATGGCCTTATGAACCTTTGCCAGGGCATTGACATTGCAGAGATTCTACACAGATATTCACCTTGAAAATGATCTTGAAACCAGTTCTTACAGGTTTTATAGGCTTAAAAGAGAAAGGTAACTGGCATTTTTTCATAGCGTGTAATATCTGCACGGTAAAATAGAGAGACAGTTTGGACTAATTAAGCGCTTAGGGGAAGGAAGTCAAGAAAGAGTTTGTTGTAGGAGGAAACAGTTATTAAAAATTGATTGATCTTACCAGGGAAATTGTATCAAATACATATATTGCATTTATACTACTGTGCCTTTGTTAAAATACTGCAACTCAGGCAGTTTTGATTGGGTTTATTTTACTGACTTTATATAAAATTCTGAAAAAAATGTAGGCCAAATTCAACCTTATGATGTATGAGATAACATTAATTAATGCTAATTAAAACAGAATCAATCAAATTTAGTGGACTTATGCCAAGATAAAAGTGAAAAGAGAAAGCAGACAAAAGTAGAAACACTTCTTGATTATAACATCAAATCCCCTTTTTTACTCAAATCCTTCAAAAAGTAATGTGTTCACTGGATACAAATTATAATTCTTAACTATTAATAATAAAAGAATTACCTTTAAAGTGTTTACTCAATAATGTTGTAAATACATGGGTACATAATCTTGCTTATATGCAAAGAGAAAACACAGAGTATTGGCCAAAATCTACTCTGGCACAGTGCCACTAACCTCCAGGAAAGAGCAGGAAAATATTATTTGGATTAGTGTGTATGAGAAGTAGGATATGGAAAAAAGCTTACTGTTAGGATGGTGATTTGTACAAAAAGTACATTTGAGAACAAGGAAAAGCCCCTTCATTTCCCACATTATTAGCACGTGACCACAAGGAAAAAGGGAATTTGTAGTGCGATAAATAAACATTGCTACTGTTAACTGTACTAACTCTACTAAAAAAACTACCCTTCACAAAAAAAGTTGTTCACAAATATCAGTTATAAACTAGTACAAATAGCTATCATTATTCACTGTCAAGATACCAACAGCAAATATACCTAGGAAAAAAGGCCACTCAGAGAATTACCTTTTACCATACACGTTCACCTCATAAATAGGGAATGTGGAGGGAGGAAAAAGTGACAGACAGTTAAGTGTTGCATAGCAGGGATCTGTGGTCATCAAACAGGAAGAAAAAACGCTAACAGGTCACGTATAGCCCCGAGGAAAAAGTTTAGAAGCGCTTGTTCAGGTTTCTGGTAGTGTAATTACATAAAGATAACAGAAACTAAGAGGTAATTTGAAAAACAATACTACTCATTCTCTTCATCAAAATTCACTCTTTGGCCAGGAAAAAACTTCCACCAAAAGCCACCTTACAAAATTATAAACACATCTAGAAATGTCAATAAAAAAAACAAAAAGCAACATCAAAAAGGAGTCTAAACCACAAAAAAAATTACAATAAACATTTTTAGAGTACCATCATATTCCAAAAAAATACCTGACATATCAATAAAAGATTAATTGTAACTTATGGTTCTTACTGGTAGGAGGAGGGGTGTGTAACCGGTTAAGATGATCCTCCTCCGTGTCTGGAAAAAATGCAGGTATGAAATTGACATGGGAACCATCCGCAGTAGTTGCTTGTTCACTTTCACTTCCAGGTTGAGCGCTGGGTGCCAGTGGCTCTTTGGTTGCTTCTTCGTGGTTGACAACGTCCGTGGACTCTGTGACTGCCACGACGACGGCTCAGTCAGCTTTAAAACTCCACCCTCACCAAACCACCACCCACATCATTTTCCTCTTTCCTGCACCACAGCAAGCCAGAGAGCGCTTCCCTTCTTCCTGATCTAAAGCACAGTAGGAAAGAAGGCGCAAAAGCCTTCCCCTCCTCCTCCACCGTCACCGCCTGCTGAGACTCTTAACCAACACGCGCTCGCCGTGCTGGAGGGACATTGGTTAACAGACGCATACCCCAGTGACGGACGGAGGGGGAAGGCCTTCAGAAGAAGGGGTCACAGCAGCAAAAAACGGACCCCGTAACTCAGGAGTGAGCAGCCGCACCTATGACGATCTTGCCTGGCTTTCCACCAGCAAGGAGGAGAAAGGAACCAAACACAGAATTTATGGGACGTGATTCTTCTGTGATTGCCCTTCCCCTCACCACCAGGACACCACTCACTGGTGATGGCGCCGCTGCTGACTCACGGGAGCAGGCCATCAGGTAAGCCCCACCAGAGCACCTCCACCACGCCAGTCACCACCCTGCAAAGCGTACCAAGCCTGAACGCACTTCTGCGCAACTGAGGAGGTCGGGACTAGGAATTCAGAATCACCAAAGTGCATGCCTTGCAGAACAGTTAGGAGGCCACCCAGAAACATGCTTTGGCAAAGAACAGAAACCGCCAAACACACCAGCAAGGAGTCCCTTATAGCCAGTCCAGAGATTCACCTTAACAACAGTCCAGATCCCACCAGAGACGTCTACAATGCAAGTCCACAGTGAGAACGCTGCAGCCCCCAAGACAAGAAAGACAGCGAGAGGAGCTGAATTCAGAAGAAATAATGTCTCATTTCACACAGGGCGGCGAAATGAGTACGACTCATTATGCTTACTGGTACCCGTCAGTGGAGATTCATCCTCCGGTTCGTTCCTACTAGCAGGATTCCGCCCATGGAGCGCCTCATCCCTGGGGGTGTTTGTGGCACGTGAGACGCCTTCAGTGCCCTGTCCGTGTTCGTTATCTGAAGGCAGAGGTGGCTCAGTTGGGTCTTCGTGACGGGCACCATCGGGAGAGGTAACAGCTGTCACGGTGATGATTGAATCAGCTGTGAATTCAACGCGTATGCTACCAAGGCCCTCCCATTCCTGTCACCTTTGCGTCTCCTCTTGCCTTTCAGCCAGGATCCCTTCCACTGCTGCTGCCCTTCTCACACCACCAAAGGGGAAGACAAGGCAGACCTCCTGTCCTCCCACACATCATCACTGCTGTCTCAACTTTTTAGTCAGCTATTTTCCTTTGCTGTTTTCATCCACTTGGTGCCTTAGTCCACAAGAGTCCCAAAGTCAGTGGACACAGGGAAAGGACAGTAAGACAGCAGTCAGGGGAATTCCCTGACCTGCATCACAAGCTGACCGCGGCTCCTCAACTTCAGTGCCACCGTCAAGCATTGCAACAACGTGCTCTACTTTATGGATATCACTACAGACAGCAGACAATCCTTTCCACAACCACTCATGCCCCTTTGCTGCTCAAGACTATGTGAACGGGGACAAACAAGAGAAAATTACTGCAATTCGTGGTTCTTACTGGTAGGAGGAGGGGTGTGTAACCGGTTAAGATGATCCTCCTCCGTGTCTGGAAAAAATGCAGGTATGAAATTGACATGGGAACCATCCGCAGTAGTTGCTTGTTCACTTTCACTTCCAGGTTGAGCGCTGGGTGCCAGTGGCTCTTTGGTTGCTTCTTCGTGGTTGACAACGTCCGTGGACTCTGTGACTGCCACGACGACGGCTCAGTCAGCTTTAAAACTCAACCCTCACCAAACCACCACCCACATCATTTTCCTCTTTCCTGCACCACAGCAAGCCAGAGAGCGCTTCCCTTCTTCCTGATCTAAAGCACAGTAGGAAAGAAGGCGCAAAAGCCTTCCCCTCCTCCTCCACCGTCACCGCCTGCTGAGACTCTTAACCAACACGCGCTCGCCGTGCTGGAGGGACATTGGTTAACAGACGCATACCCCAGTGACGGACGGAGGGGGAAGGCCTTCAGAAGAAGGGGTCACAGCAGCAAAAAACGGACCCCGTAACTCAGGAGTGAGCAGCCGCACCTATGACGATCTTGCCTGGCTTTCCACCAGCAAGGAGGAGAAAGGAACCAAACACAGAATTTATGGGACGTGATTCTTCTGTGATTGCCCTTCCCCTCACCACCAGGACACCACTCACTGGTGATGGCGCCGCTGCTGACTCACGGGAGCAGGCCATCAGGTAAGCCCCACCAGAGCACCTCCACCACGCCAGTCACCACCCTGCAAAGCGTACCAAGCCTGAACGCACTTCTGCGCAACTGAGGAGGTCGGGACTAGGAATTCAGAATCACCAAAGTGCATGCCTTGCAGAACAGTTAGGAGGCCACCCAGAAACATGCTTTGGCAAAGAACAGAAACCGCCAAACACACCAGCAAGGAGTCCCTTATAGCCAGTCCAGAGATTCACCTTAACAACAGTCCAGATCCCACCAGAGACGTCTACAATGCAAGTCCACAGTGAGAACGCTGCAGCCCCCAAGACAAGAAAGACAGCGAGAGGAGCTGAATTCAGAAGAAATAATGTCTCATTTCACACAGGGCGGCGAAATGAGTACGACTCATTATGCTTACTGGTACCCGTCAGTGGAGATTCATCCTCCGGTTCGTTCCTACTAGCAGGATTCCGCCCATGGAGCGCCTCATCCCTGGGGGTGTTTGTGGCACGTGAGACGCCTTCAGTGCCCTGTCCGTGTTCGTTATCTGAAGGCAGAGGTGGCTCAGTTGGGTCTTCGTGACGGGCACCATCGGGAGAGGTAACAGCTGTCACGGTGATGATTGAATCAGCTGTGAATTCAACGCGTATGCTACCAAGACCCTCCCATTCCTGTCACCTTTGCGTCTCCTCTTGCCTTTCAGCCAGGATCCCTTCCACTGCTGCTGCCCTTCTCACACCACCAAAGGGGAAGACAAGGCAGACCTCCTGTCCTCCCACACATCATCACTGCTGTCTCAACTTTTTAGTCAGCTATTTTCCTTTGCTGTTTTCATCCACTTGGTGCCTTAGTCCACAAGAGTCCCAAAGTCAGTGGACACAGGGAAAGGACAGTAAGACAGCAGTCAGGGGAATTCCCTGACCTGCATCACAAGCTGACCGCGGCTCCTCAACTTCAGTGCCACCGTCAAGCATTGCAACAACGTGCTCTACTTTATGGATATCACTACAGACAGCAGACAATCCTTTCCACAACCACTCATGCCCCTTTGCTGCTCAAGACTATGTGAACGGGGACAAACAAGAGAAAATTACTGCAATTCGTGGTTCTTACTGGTAGGAGGAAAAATTGGTTTCTTCTCAGAATTATCTTAGTTTTAAAATTACTGCAGAAGGTTGCCTGTTAGAGTTACTCTGTGGTATGGTGGTATGGTGTTTACAGAAGCTAGCATCCACTCTGTACTTCTCTTCCTTATATGCAGAGTACACTTTATCTTTTCTATTCTAATTAGATCATAAAGATAAAAAGCAAAGAGGTTTTTCTGTTTGTCTTGACATTGTCATTGTCATTGTCTTGTTAACCTAAGCTTCCTTGCTTTTCAGAATAATTAGCTAATGTTGTTTATGATAGCAACAATGAAGATGCAAGAAAGACCATCAAGAGAATACACGGAAACTCTACATGAAATTTGACATGACAGAGATTTGTCACATGTTGTCCCAAAATCAAACAAACTTTCTGAGCAGCAGCTCTATAATAAAGGATTAAAATTCCCCCTTCTCTTACTTCAGCACAAATGAACCCATGTGTTTCTCATATCATGCTTTTAGAATATACTTCATTGACATAAAACGTAAGTGCTATATCATGGATGCGTGGTAGAATTGTATGTTAATTTTGTAAACTCCTCTCTCTCACCATTCTAATAGCGATCCCAAACCAGAGGGATAAGTACTTTG